GTTTAGAGTTAGAGCCGGAGAAGGAGCGGTCGCGTCCACCTCTGCGCCGGCGAGATCGCGTCCTTATCGCCGCCGATGTGGCAGAGGCGGACGCGCCCGCCGAGCATATGATAATGGAAACAGTCTAGACGGGGGTCGGCGAATGAATAAAAAAAAAAAGAGACAGACGGCTAGACAATGAAAGTGCAAAAGTGCAATCGGAATACGGTTCAGGAGGACTCGCCGGGAGCCCGTTTCTCCTTCGCCCGCTCCTTCCTTTTTTTTCTCTCTATTTTCGCTCCTCCGCGCGAGCGATATTATTTTTTTCGAATCGTGTGTCTCGATTTTTTCGGGCGGGGGCGCGGGGCGCATTGTTTTCCCGACGGTGATGAATCGATAAGGCGATAATGAGATTAATCTCGCCGGATTCCGGCGGGATGATGAATGAACGGGATTAGAAAGGTTTAGCATAATTTCGATTAGCTTCGCGCCCGGCTATTTATAGGAATTTTCCTTCGCGCTGACTAAGCGCAATGGAAATTTTTTTTATTGTGCAATTAAAGCGAGCAACAATTTTTATGTTAACGATTTTTCCGCTCAATCGGGAGTTTGCGAGGCCGAGGAAACTGTGTCGATTCGCCGTAAAATAAAAAATTTACAGTGTCACAAGATACACGCAAAATCTAGTCAACCGGTGGTTTGACACAAACGACATTTATGTCAATTTACTGTCAAATACTCTTCTTCTCTAATGTATTAGCCTCAGCTGCTGGGGCTGTTCGGTTAACTCAAATATAATCGTGATGAATTAGATTGCACAACAATCTAAATATTACAAACTTCTTGTAACTTACACTTAGGAAAAGTAACAAGATACATATTTCGTTATTCGAAACTAAAACTTCCAGCAGACATGCGGGAGGCCTTCGTCGTTTTATCGCGTCCCTTATTCGCTGGAGAATTTTCGCGACAAAAAATAATCTCAATTATTCTCATTGTTAATTCGTTTCGAATGCGTAAAAAAGGTGCGAGTAAACAAGCCGAAAAAAAAATATTTAATTAATTAGCGCGCAAAAGGTCGCACGATCAGAATCGGTGTTGATTTAATAGATGATAAAAAAAAAAGATAATTTTTTTTTATCGCGAAGAATTGGACGAAAAATTCGTCAAGTTTGAATATAATTTGGCGATAACGATGATTTGCATTGTATTTTTGTCTCTAATTATGGGTAGAAGTAAGTTTGCTTGCCATAAGTTGAACAAGAAAAGATTACTAAAAAACAGTGGTTAGAGTGAAAAAGATGCAATTCCACAATGTCACTCTTTCCTATTATTTTATATGAGTCTATGGTAGTTGTCTTTGTCGCACTCATAGACGAGAATTCTATGAGTTGAGGAGAGAAAATCAAAATAACAGTGATTAGAGTGATCCCACAATAGCACTCTTTCTTTTTCTTTTATACGAGTCTAATGAAAGTTGTTTTTGTTGCACTCACAAACGATATTGCAAACAATTTTGCATCTACCTGTAAGCAAGTATATTTTACTAGCATGCTGTGGCTGTCAAACGTCAAACAACAATTCCAGAAGAATTTACGAATACAAACCGAACGCCAAATGCGCGTTTTGTCGGTCGAAATTCCGCGATTTTTTTCTGCTATTTGTTAGAAAGAATGCATTCGTATGTGCGTAGGCATGTACTCTCTCGGGTACGTCCTGGAAATTCTTGAGTGATCGTCAAAATATTCGGACACCGGTGTTTATTTTCATTGAAAAAAGCAGACTAAACCGATACCTCGCTAATCGATGCCGAAATATATTCGCGTATCGCGCCGTACACACAATAAATCTACCTTTCCCCGGCTAATTGTCGTGGACTAAACGGATATTTATTACGTGCATCCACTAGCTAGATTGATAATAGATAATTTTTAGTTAAATAATTTCGTATCGAAGTTAATAAACTAGAGGTGGTTCAAAAATCCATCGCGAGCGATTGTAAATATTGTTCGAAATATCGCGGAGAGTCGGGGCTTCTGTACAAATATCAACGAACCTCGGCGTCGGACAATGAGCAAATAAGAAATTGTTGTACTTTCTTTATTATAAATAATCAGTGGTTTTATTAAAGCTCTCTCGCCTTATCGTCGTGTTTTGTCTGTTGTTCGAACGGATCTTTAAACATTTCGAGCGATAGCGGGGCGGCGTACGCGCTTTCTCGTTTACATTATTTCATATTTTCGCTCCTTATCGACGATTTAATTTCGTATATACGCAATACGGTCGTTTTTAATCGCATCGTCGTATAAATAACGAGCGATTAACGACGCTATTGTCCAGGTAAACGACCATAATTCGAAAAAAAAAACCAAACGTTATTACCTAAGCAAAAGCTAAGAAATTCAACAATGTTGCATTTTATTATTTACATTGACCTACATAACACACACTGCTTAGTTTAGCAACAAAACACACTCTTTGTTTGTACACAATCTACTGGAATACAACACTTTTTCCACGACCTTTATATCCTCCGCGTCTAACGAATTAAACCGTTATTCGTGGCAATTGTCCATTTTTTTTATCCGACCCTCGTCTGCAAGATCTAGGGTTTCCTATACTGATCTAGGACCCGCTCCTCGAGGGTTTCGTCGCTCCGAAACGCGAAAAATCTAGTTATTCTAGGAGGGTGAAAATGTTTATTGCGCGAGGAAAAAAAAGTCGAATTCGAGCCGAAGGAGGGTGACCTTTGTGAAGGATTCTAAAAGCGCGTTATTAGGGATAATTTGAATGGATCTATCGAGCGAACGAAACCGAAAGTGACATGTAAAACGGTCGAATACAACGAAAAAAAAAGGCCGTATTAGGGAGAATATGAATTATTTTCGTCGTTGAATGCGCGCTCGCTTACATAATAGTTGTCGATAAAAATCAGGATTGCGTACAAAGTTGGTAGTATTGACGATTTAGAGCCGTTGCCAACTTAAAAAATTCTACTTGTATCGAGCAGGATTTGGTCGAGTAATAACGTAGAAAGGAATCCTAGCAGGCAAGGACGGGCTTCGAAAGCATTTGCGCGCATTCAAGGTAATTTGCCATATTAATTAACGAGTCGCTTCCTACATTAGAGAAAAAAAAACACAGTCTAATGCAACTGAGGATTGCCCGTTTTTAATAAACGTTCACCAGACTCGATTGCGTCGAAATAGACGCGGAATAAATTAATAAAATTACAGCATTCAATTAATGGGAGGGAACTCGGACTCGGAAAAAATGCCTATCGGAGATAAGGAAATAAATTATTTTGCGAAACATCTTGTGAATATCGCGGTATTTTTGTTTTGACTGTATTTCAATAAAAAATCGCGCTGTAAATTAAATATTTCTTATACAAGCTGGTCCAAAATTGTTTCCAGTATGGTCAATTCTATGAGTTGAACAGAGAACGATTATCAAAATAACAGTGGTTAGAGTGAGAAAGTTGCAATCTTCCCTAAATATCATTCTTTCTTTTTCTTTTATACGAATCTAATGAAAGTTGTCTTTGTTGCACTCATAGACGTAATGAGAGTTGTTCTTTTGTATTAAAACAACACATTTTTCTAAGGAGAACAAAGTGCGTTAAATAATCTACATATTATAAACGATAAAAATCACATTTCTTGAGATATTTGTTGATAATAACATATTAACGCTTCAATTTGAGATAATATATTTTTAAACAATTTTAAAAATACCGCTTTGTTGTACTTTTGACGTCTACTAACAAAACGCATTAATCAAGTTGGCAACACTGTCAAACAAACGTCAAATAAATGTTATAAACAATCGACTTTCAGTAGCAACCAAAACATAACCTAACTTTTTTTCGAAAAACTCAATCAACAGTGCAATTCGAACGAATTTTTACAGCCGTTTCGCGTTATAAATACGGATATTTTCATAAACAGCACGCCCGAAACGTTAATGCAGTAATTTTAATGTGCTGCGAAAGGATTCTAACCTAATTTTTTTTTTGTTTCGAAAGAATCAAGTGTACACGGCAAACGAACGAGAAACCGTCGAGCGTTTAAATACGAAAGAGGACATATCGCATTCAGCAATGAAACAATATAATTCGAGCAATGTAAAGATTTAAATCGCATACTAAATTGACTTTAACAATACAGACACACAGGCCATACAATACAACTATGTAGCGTTTAAAGGTTAACTACCTCTACGTAAACGACACAAGCAAAAAATAACATACCTGACCATTTAACACCGAACAAAAACATATACGGGAATGTTTCCTCTGGCGACACTAAACAATTTTTGCGAAAAAATTTTATTCCTGGCACTTTTCTAACACCGAAAAGAGAAAACAATAGGAAGATATTTCCCCGTGCTGGGCATGCGCGGTCCTAGTCCTTATATCAATCGGAATGCCCTGAAATTTTTAGACATTACCTTTATGAAATAACAAATGGAAACGAAACCGACGAGCGAGGCATTATTCTAATCGAGACGCAATCTCGGATATAAATACGAGCTGAAATGAGCGAGTCGGATTGAAGTTAGGTTATGTTGTAAAAACGGGATATATTTAGGAATAGAGTTTTGACAGAAGGGTTCGATTCCTCTGTGTGTCTGTGTGTGTGTGTGTGTATAACGTTATTTTTCAAAGATATAAATGTGGGATTTTTAAATAAAACGACGCGCGTTCGTAGCGAAATGAAGGTTCTACAGTGGCGAAATCGAGGTTACAGCGAACCTAATCGGACGGAAAATGGCAAACTCTCCTAAAATGTATTGATCTAGCACATAAAATTCGCCAGGCATAATTTTTAACGCGTCTACTGTCATTTCACCCGATACGAGAGAGTTTAAGAACACGCTAATAACTTACATTGAATTAAAAATAGACGACTACCTTGACAAAGTAAAAAACAAACAGCACATTACATAAAATTTAGTTTAGGTATCACAGTCCGAAACAGCCTTATTCTGGTGATGGTACATTATCTGATGTACAGTACCTTTGGGTTAATAGTCAATTTTTGTCGCATGACAACAGAACACTGATTCGCGATTCGTTCCGTCGGATTTTCCTCGGTCCATACGCGCACTACAACGGACATTGGTCGAATTTCCCGTTCATCACTTTCGAAAACTCGAGACGAGACTGGCTGCGGCTGTTTGTCGGTCGGCGGGTTCGAGTTCGAGACTCGACAGAACGAGGCGACTGGCTGTGTCAAGTGTAGTCGACGTTGCCGCCTCCTCCCCCTTTAATACACCTCATACACTATAACCATAGTATTATACTATACAGTACGGAGAGCCGAGCAGCCGAGCGGCGTTTCCACTGATGCCCGCCTCACTACACGGGAGGCCGTCCGGCGACCGAACGAACGTTCTCTGAGGTCATAACGTCGGTTTCACAAAACTGGTACTCGCTTACTACGACTTTTCGCAATATTATTTAGTACCCACATCGACAATTATTGTCTATGCATACTCTCTCTTTACTACGCACCACTAGTGGACGCACTGTAGAGAGTAACAGACAAGCTCTGTGGTGACCTTTGGCTGAAACGATGACCTTACAAGAGCGGGAAAACTACTGGAGTCAGGTGGTTACGGAGCTAAAGAGATTCAAGCTCTATATGTTGTTATGAAACAAAGATCACTTTGAAATGAGCACCAGTTCCATTACTGCCCGATCTTAACATACTCGTTAGAAACATCTACTCATAGACCACTAGATAGGACCTCTTCCAGAAACTACACTAGTATCCAAATCTAGACACCGATGCTTCCAAGTCTTCTTACTACGATTATACCAGTTCTGATCATTTCGCATCCTTACTAACCCAGCTAGAGATCAATAAAGTAGAATAAACCTTGTTATTTTACATTGGATTGGTCATTTAGAGTACCTTGTGTATTTGTATTATTCCAGTACAATTTAAACCAGTTTTGAGTCATCCTGAGAGGATACACATTTTCCACTTGGTGCTAATTTTATCATCAGCAATTCATGTCAAATTCATATAAAGATCTTATTGAAATTAATAAAATATCGTTACCTTTCCCGAACGATATTATAAAACCGGCAACTCTACTATCTAAGAATAGTCCTAAGGTAAAACAACATAACACAAAACTAGATTTATATTACTTTTATTAAGAAAAACCTGATGGACACAACATTCAACTTTCCCTTAGCCCATACGGCGACGGTGCCAAACATCTTCAACAATCTCCGAAACCCACCATTACCCACACCTATAAAATTACAAAAAACCTATAATTCCCAAAAAAAAAAAAACTTCCTAAAATCCTCCAAACATCCTCTCATAAATTTACATCCTCGCAACATCCTCCAACAACTACAGTACCCCGAACAACTTCACCGAAACGTAGCAGATTGGTTGAAATTTCCGAGCAGCCGGCAACAGCGCTCCGTATAGTGTAGTGCCGCGATCGCGAACGTCTAGACAGTCGGCTATCACTCTCCCCGCTCCGTCTCTCTGTGATAACACCGGCGACCCTGACTGATGCACACACACGCAGTGCTGGCTGAGTTCATTCCATATGGCCCACTTTACGACACAGTACACAATACACAACAACCACGGTGTCGGCTCGTTGCGACCGCTTTTTCCGTGCTACGTGTACTCGCAATTGCGCGTACGTGCACGCTCGTTCCATCTGTAGGGACACCGGCGAACTATGGGACCTGATAACGATTGCATTTGCTGATTGCGTTGTGTAGGAAGACCAATGTCGTTGAGGAGTCCTGTTGTATTGGCTGGTGTATTTGGGAAGGTGCTAACTTGGTCTGGAACTCTTGAAGATGACTCTACTAGACACACACTTGAACTCGGGAAATTTTGAAATTTGAGAGTCTTGGCAACTCTTCTTAACTATGGTCAAATCTTTCATGCCAGAGTAGCAAGACAGTATTCGTTTAGGTGATTGTACTGTACAGGTATTGTTGAAGATTCTGGTCATCTTTGGAGTAGTATTTGGAATGATGCTAATCTGGTTTAGGAGTATTTTGAAGAGACACAGTTTGAACACTCGAATTTTTTGTTGTACCAGACTCTCTCTAGAGTACCAAGACATTATTCGTTTAGATGATTGTACTATACGTATTGTTGAAGATTCTGGTCGTCTATAGAGGAGTATTTGGAATAACGCTAATCTGGTTTAGGAGTATTTTGAAGAGACACAGTTTGAACACTCGAATTTCTTGTTGTTCCAGACTCTCTCTAGAGTACCAAGACATTATTCGTTCAGATTATTGCTTTGTATCGGTTCTTATTAGGAACTCATGCTGGAAGATCTTGAGGAACGTTTGAGGAATTAAGTCATACAGCTTTTGGAACTCTTTTCTCTCTAGTTTTTTACAACAGAGACTCAAAATTGAAACCGACTACCAACAAATCATTTGGGTTACTGACTTTGAAGGATTCTTAAAGCGTTTTGATAGCTTTTGACAAAGAGATTGTCTACAAAATTAACCAATTTAGAGACCATGCTATAAGAAAATGCAAATATTCGATACAATCCCATAACATTTCCTCGAAATATCACCACAACACGGACAAGACAAACGACGAAACAGGTATACAAAAAAATCCTTCAATTGCTCCACGCGCCGTGTTTAATCGAACGCGGGGCTATCGTCGAAGAAGTGCATCGGCCACACGATGGAATAAATAACGTGGAAACCGTTCGAGATATGGTAATGGTAAAGGACCTTTATTATCGTCACCGTATTATTTTGTTTGTTGTTTTTGCGCGACTTGTCTGATGCACCCGAACAGCGGCGGCGGATGTGGGCTGATATGCAAATGCATTTTGAACCTCCGGAATGAAAATTCCAATCAACGGAACCAGCTGGGAAAATCGCCGATTAGACGGGATAGAAAATAAAATTACTCGGCCGGTTTTTTTGGACCTGCTAAAGGAGCTGCCCATTCCGAAAGCGATAAATCGGATGAGGATAATAAAATTTATGCGCAATTTTACGGATTTGCGAAACGAATTACGCCATGTGTCAAGGAAGCGTTACATTATAGGTATCCTCTACTTATTTTAATAATACCTAAATAACATTATTTCCGTGTGCATGAGTAATCCGTCTAGACTTCAAAGTTGAATTATCATCGAATTACCGGATATTATAACGACTATTTTTAGTACAATTTTAATTGTATACACCGCATAACGCGGTAACGGTATGGGTTTTCGATTATTCCGAACTTCGCCGTCGAACATTTTAATTAAACGGTACTTTAAAATTCATATAACTTCGAAGGAATACCAATGGATTTGTGGCCTGTATTTACGCACGTACTCGCTTCACCTGCACCAAAAATTATATGCAAATATTTTAAAAATATATATACTTAAAAAAAATCTGGGAAATGGTCGATATAAAATCGATTATTAAATTATTTTTATTCAAATTATTGTAGACAAAATAATGTGCATATGCAATAATAAACATAATAAACAAATTATATGCTTAAAAATACATTTTTTTATCTTACAGAAAACTAGTACACCAATTTCTGTATAGCGACAAAAGCAACAACTAATAATAATCATTTACAACCACAGATGTCGCCACTAAGTCAATTTTAAAACTATTAATTTCTACTAATATTTTCTCGATATTTAACCCAATTTTATGCAATAATCGGACGATTGACGAGGCAGGGTGCTCTTAGGACTGACGTAGAGGGGCCCCATTATTTCTAGGTTGTATTTGTAGTCGGATCTCCGGCCCACCATACCTATAAAACATTAAAATCGATTAAATTCCGGTATGGAAACGACGGGTTATTCAACAAATAAATCATCGAGTTAATTTATTGTCGTTGTTTAACGCGTCGTGCATGTCCAAGGATGTTTAATTTGAATTTGTTACATTAGATATATAATTCGAGCGCGTTTCTCAACATCGAATTATTTAACTTTAATTGCCTTTTGTTGAACATATTGGACACAAACATGTAAATTTTAATTTACCGTTTGAAGTTTTGGGAACGTATTCACTGCGTTGTATCGTTATACAGGGCGTTTCTTTGTTAATATGAACCATCTTTCTGTTCCCTCCCGTGAGTTTTTTGTATTTTTCTTCGGTGATTCCCCGTTTTCCGATCTCTTCTAGCAATATCTAATAGCACAATTAAAAACATTTAATTGCTTAGATAATATTGTTTACTTACTTTGTGGAAATCTAGGTAGATGCCCCATTTTTTGTACCAATTTAGTTTGGCTTTCTCCTCAACTGCTACTTGAGCGTTCCTTAAAAACCATCAAATTTACACCACCGCAATTTTTATGTAGCTAAAAATACTTACAGTACGTTTATTTCAACGTTTAAATCTTTTATTCTATTCGATTCGGCCATATTCATTCATCGCATGTTTGATCGATCACTTGGCTCTAACTTGATGCAAAAAAAAACTTTAAGATGCCTTTGATGATACATAAACATAATGTTTCGAAATTGACATTAATGACATTTTGACATTTCGTATGACAGAAGTTTAATAGAGGTGGGACTCATTTTTTGGTGTAGAGGTGTAGTAACGACTGTTACAAAATAAGCGTTATTTTTGAAATTTTGTTCTTCTGATTACTCTACTCTACTTTATCCAATCCTACAGTATACATTTGTAATTGCACCGTTTTTTAATTTAAAAAAAAACTATTCTATAGGGTATTCTACTCACTTTATAATGACTAAATACATTAAAAAAATAGTTTATTTGAACAATTTACAAATCAAATGCAAATCATTGACTTCGTTATTATCCAAATAGACCTTCTCCAGGTTCCCGACGTTGGCGAAGGCGTTATTTTTGATGACGTAAACTTCGGTTCCTTTGAGACTGACCGTCCTCAAAGCCGGCAAATCCGCGAACGAATTCGCGTCGATAAATCTAATGGGATTCCCATCCAAATTGACCTCCCGCAAACCGGGCGAATTCGCGAACGTCCCCTCTCGAATTCCGCTCAAATTGTTGTCGCTCAACACGACGATCCGCACGTTTTTATTGGCGAAAACGCCGCCATTGTCGATGATCGAGATGCTATTACCGCGCAAATTAATAGTTTCTAACGTAGGTGTATCAAAACTACCGGAGGACAAAGAAGCTATGCGATTGTTGGACAAATCCAAGTGGTGAATCGCTGTTATGGGTTTCAGAAATTCTAAATTCTTCGAGATTTTGTTCCCGGATAAATTCAACAAACCCACGTGGAGATTGTCGAAAGCTCTCTCATCGATCTCCCCGATATCGTTCCGGCATAAATCCAGTTGGACTATGTAAGAATCCTTGAACACGTTGGAGTTCAATCGATCGATGTGGTTGTAGCACAAATCCAACCGGCCCAAATTGATCCCCTCGAAGTACCCATCAGGTATTAAATCGATGCTACAATTGCTCAAATCGAAAGTCGCGTTGGTACCTTCTTCGAAAAACAACCCCACGAAATCGCGCTTGGACTTGTCCAAAACGATCCTCTCAGAACCCTTCAACGACATCGATTTAGAGACTTTAACCTGCTCCAAGTCCAAGTCCCCTACGTCGCCGCGGTACTGCGATAAGTCCAAGTACTGCACCGTGATCGGTAGTGAAATATTACCAGCGCTGATGGCGCGCAATTTCAACCTCCCGTTGCCGGAGAAACGGAACTGTTCCACCATCACGGTCTTGTTGGACTCGCCCACGTTGTACCACTGGTAGCCGGCCATGTCGGTGTAGCTGAAGTCCAAGCAGAGGCCCGGAACGTTCGAGTACTTGGCCAGTGGGTTGCGGCTCAAGTCCACGCATCGGACGTTCTTCAAGTACTCGTCCGATTCGGTGCTTCGGATGTTGTTGTTAGAAACGTTCACCAGGCGCAAGTTCTGGTTGTTTTTGAACACGATGAAGTTCAAATTGTCTATTTCGCAGTGGCTCAAGTCCACCAACTCCAGTCGCTCGAAATCGCTGAACACCTCAGGCACTGTTGATATTTTATTGTGGCTTAAATACAACGATTTTAACCCTTTGGGGAACTTTGTAATGAAGTCCAAATTTTCGAAATTATTATACCGTGCATCCAGAGTTTCCAAATGCTGGTATCCCGAAATATCCGGTGGTTCTGTCAAGTCGCAGTGGTTCATTCCGATTTCCTGGATGTTAAATTTGATTTCCTCGTCTACTGCACTCAGGAAGCGCTGTATCGATTCGGAATCTACGCTGGCGAATCGAAATGTTCTGATGGTCGTTGAATTGCGAGTTTTCGAATTGAAATCGAACATGATGGACTTGGAATCGGCTTTGGTGCATTCGAAATCGCTGTATTTGAATTCGCATTCGGCTCGGGAACGTTGCATGAGCAATGCAATAGTGCACAACAGGAGCATTGTTGTTTAAAACTGTATTATTTCGATGATTATTGTATGTTAGTTTCGATGATGGGGATTTTTAGTGTTATTAAAAATGCATTACCTAACTGAGTTTATGTTTGTAGTTTGTAACAAAAAAAAGGAAATGATCGTTGATAAAATTTAAGTAGGTTCTGAATTATTAAACAAATAAAGTGAACTGGAAATCTATCTATTACTCAATCATATTTATCAATTTTAATATTAAGTATTGAGTTACTTATCGAAACTTCCACCTCTAGTACCTGTTATAAGCAGCCATTGGATAGAGAAAATTGTAGTGCGCTAAAATAACAGTTCTAGTGACATTTATAATTCAGTATTAGCAATTTATTAAAAAAAGAACCACTTAAATCTACAATTTTTACACATAAAAAGCATTTATACAGCCGATAAAGGCATAAAACACAAACATCTCTACATGTAACACAACACACAAGTAGATTAAAAACATTCCCATTTACAAAGATCAATTTAACCAATTTATCGAGAACAATACAATACTCTTAAGTTTCATTTCTTCTTGACTACCTCATCTTTCAGCTGCTCGATGCTCTTGAAGAACTCCTCCACCATCACATCGCAATCCTCCTTCGTTTGCATCGACGATTCGTCCGACATGAAACTCAGCTGGATCCGTTTCTCGTAGTTGTAACTTCCGAAACCGGTCACTGGACAAAAAAAAAACGAAATCCCCTAAATGCAAGAACCCACCGCCATTCGGCCCGATCTTACCCATTTGGTCCTTCACGGCGGTGAAGAAGAAGCTCTCCTCCACTTCGTAGCCGTTGAACAACACCGCCTTTTGGATGTCCGGCATGCTGGTCACCGACGCCCACGTGTCGGTCACCGGAAACAGGAATCTCTTGAAAGGATTCGGCACCAATTGCAGAAGGTTATCGAATATGAAATTCTTTATCTAAGGAACAAAATCGATATGTGTGCTAATGAAGGAGTTATAGTGTGATGGTTACCCTGAAATTGGAGTTTTCCACCAACTTATTGGAGTCCTTTTTGATGGTGTGGAGTTTCTTCAGCAGCGACCCCGATCTGGCTTTGATCGGTAACTTAACCTCCATCAAAATGAATTGATTGAACAACTGGGGAACGCCGTTGGTAGTCATCGGTTTCATTTCTTCTACTGCTCCTATAGTTACATTGATCGAATGGGGCATTTTCTTGTTGAGCTACGAAAAATTATGAATTATTCACAAATAAGGTAGATGCGTGTAGAATTAATTACCTTTTGGAAATACGAATGGAAGCTTCCAGCTACTGCTGTGAGTATCACAGTGAGGTAAGTTTCTCCGAGTTTCTCCCTCACTAATTTCATATATTTAAAGGACCTATCGCTTTGATCCAGCGCCTTGTAGCCCACGTTATGCTTGCCGCTTTTGCACGGGTAAGGACCACCCCCGTTCGTCAACAACCTCAACACCAACCCCACCAGCAGATAACCTACCCCCAAACCGATTACCTCGCTTATTCCTCCGCTCGAAACCACTCACCTGGCACCAACTGCAGCACGTAGAAATTCCTCAACAAGTTCCACGGCGACAGCCCCACGCCGGGCCTCTTCTTCGACGTGATCTTCAGAATCTGGTCGACGGTGGCGTTGTTCTCGCCCAAGGACTGGTAGATGAAGTTCGTGGTGGACAGAGGATCGGCCACGAAGTGCTGGAACCTCATGAACACCGGCGTCCGGTGGGGTTCCATGTCGTGGTCCTTCCTCCATTCCACCGACGCCTTCAGCACCAGGATCTGCCACGGGAGCGTGTCGTTCCTGGGCATGGGTTTGTCGCTGTAGGCGTACAGCACCTCCTGCACCGACTTGTACTCTTTCTCTTCCATGTCCACCACGCTCACTACATCCTCCGGTGTGACGTCTTCTTTCAGGAGGTACGGGTAACCTGGAACGGTTCAAGAGCGTTACACTAGGCGATTTATTAATGGTATTAACAGACCTAAAAACGAGTGGTAAGAGGAGGATAGTTTCGCGAATTTATCGGGGTGGTTGAGGACCCTCTGCTGGACGACGTCCTTTATGTTCTTCACCAAGTCGTGGTCGCCGGGTTTGTCTTTCAAGAAGAAGACGAATTTGATGAGGTTGTGGCTGGATCGACCGCCGGTGTAGTAAGTGTCCGAGTTGCAGATGTGCACCAGTCGTCTCAAGTAGAGGAATTTCAGGAGCAGGTTCACCGAGAACTTGAATGCGACCAGGAAAGAGACCAGCGTTACGAAGCCGGGGAACATGAAGGAGGAGATTACGCCGTATACGATGTCCATTAGGCCGATTCCTAGCATTTCTGTCCGCTGGGTTTCTGAAAATGTGGTGTGAACGGGTGGAATTGCGATGGTTTTAAATAGACTTACCGTTTATTCCGTGCGGAAGCGCAGTAAAAATGATGTTTCGGGGAATTAGGAAGGACTGGAAGCTAAATATATACGGTCTTAATCTGATTAACGGCGGTTTTTAGAAGATAAATCGATACTTGTTCGAATAAATAAATATATTTTGAACTATTATTGGGCTTTATCAACATATCTGAAAAACTAGTAGTTCTTACAAACTTACAAGGAGCAAGCAATATTTTAATAGTACCACAGAACATAATTTCGAACAGGTAAATTAATTATAGAAATAATAAATACAAATCCTTTCATTGCCCCAACATTATAAATTAAAATTTAAAAATAATCCTCAAGATATTATCTAAATACTTATTACATATAATTTAAATAAAATTATAATCTAATTTTTACATTATCCATACAGAAAATTATACAACGATAATACAAGTAATATCATTCTAAGCAGTAACATTTAATAGCTACGAAAAGATAAGGTATTAACAAATAATTGGTTAACAACTTAAAATCAGCTCGTTGTTAGTTTGAGTAAACAAGTAGTGAATAAATTAAAGCGTTTTATTCATCATATAGGAGTATTGATAATATCGTGTTGGTGTCACAAACATGGCTAGAGTCAGTAAAGATGTTACTGATATTGAGGTAAAAGAATTGTTTCTAAAAGAATAAGTAAAGTAATATTTTTAAAATTGGTAATATTTTATTAAGGCGTTTAAATAAATCTATGCTTTTGTTATAGCTATTCTATTCAATTTTCTGATATTAAAAATAATTTAGATATCTGCCATTTGACCTCTTTATCTCGCATAATACTCAGCTGATAATCTAGCTTATTTATTTCAAATAATACCAATTCTTTTATCCCTAAATATTAGTAATTGTTTTAACCACACTTTTCACTGCACAGGATATCCTAGCGCTGAATCCTCGAGTGCAGGAATTCGCCAATTTCGTCCCATCGAGCTCCACCAAAACCAACAAAGCCCACTGGAAGAGAAACGCCAGCAAAAATTGCCAAGTAAGTACACTAAAACCAAATCTACTCTTTTTTCTTTAACAACTGCAATTTGCCAGAGCTGCGATTCGCTAGAAAACAATTTCTCCGACGTGAAACCGACCACCCTGAGCGAAAGAGGCGCGCTCAAAGAAGCCGCCCGTTGCCTGAAATGCGCCGACGCCCCTTGCCAAAAATCCTGCCCCACGCAGCTGGACATCAAATCCTTCATCACCAGCATCGCCAACAAGGTGAGTCCAGTTCCTACTGCACTTATCTAAAGCATTACTCGCGTATTTTTCGCAGAATTATTATGGAGCGGCCAAAGCCATCTTCTCCGACAATCCTCTGGGGATCACCTGCGGGATGGTGTGCCCCACCAGCGACCTCTGCGTCGGCGGGTGCAACCTCCAAGCCACCGAAGAAGGGCCCATTAACATAGGAGGATTGCAACAATTCGCCACGGAGGTAAGTTCTATTTTAACTACCATTTACATTTTAATTTCGATCGCGTTTTGATAGATTTTCAGTCAAATGGGGGTGAGGCAAACGAGAGATCCCAGAACCCCGACACCCAAGAACCCCAACGCGAAAATCGCGTTAATAGGCGCTGGCCCCGCCTCGCTATCTTGCGCTACTTTCCTAGGTCGATTGGGTTACGATAATGTGACTATATACGAAAAAAATACTGTCTTAGGAGGCTTGAGGTAACATCTACCTACACACTAACCTCATAAAACAATCCAAAAATTTTCACAGCGCCACGGAAATCCCCCAATACCGCCTACCGATCAACGTGGTCAACTTCGAAATCAAACTCGTCGAGGACCTCGGCGTGAAGATAGCAACGGGCCGGTCGCTCTCCGCCAAAGACCTCACCGTCGAGCGGCTGCTCGAAGACTCCGGCGCCGTCTTCCTGGGCTTCGGGCTGCCCCAGCCCAAGATCAACGCGACCTTCGACGGCCTGACCGCCGCCAACGGGTTCTACACCTCCAAGTCCTTCCTGCCGCAGGTCAGCGGCGCCAGCAAGGCGGCCGGCGGGTGCGCCTGCAAGGGCTCCGCGCCGCTGCCGAGGCTCCACGGGAACGTCGTAGTACTGGGAGCCGGCGACACGGCCTTCGATTGCGCCACGTCGGCGCTCCGCTGCGGCGCCAGGAAGGTCTTCGTGGTGTTCCGAAGGGGCTTCACCAACATCAGAGCCGTGCCCGAGGAGGTAACGCTGTTAACTCGAAAGTTATCAACACGCTAACGCGTCGCGTTTTAGGTATCCGTCGCGGTGGAGGAGAAATGCGAATTGGTGGGATTCATGTCGCCCCGTTCGGTTAACGTTAAAGGCGGTAAAATAACATCGGTGACTTTCTGTAGAACCGAACAAACTGAGGACGGTAAATGGGTGGAGGATCCCACGCAGTTAAACACCATCAAAGCCAGTTTCTTGATATCGGCGTTCGGATCCGGATTGGAAGACCCAGACAGTTAGTAGCATCAACTCTAATCGTTCGTTAGTACAAATCGAATTTGCAGCCATCGAAGCGTTGAAGCCTCTGAAGCTAACCAAGAGCAACCTGCCTCTGATCGACGTCAAGACGATGAGAACGTCGCACCCGCGGGTGTGGTGCGGCGGGGACGCCGCCGGCGTCGCCGAGACCACCGTGGAGGCCGTCAACGACGGCAAAATAGCCGCCTGGTACATCCACGCGGCGCTGGAAGGCCTGCCGGACGGGGCGCCGCCGAGGCTGCCGCTCTTCCACACGGACATCGACGAGGTGGATCTGTCGGTGGAGATTTGCGGCGTGAGGTTCGAGAACCCCTTCGGGCTGGCGTCGGCGCCGCCCGTCACCAGCGCCCCCATGATCCGCAGGGCCTTCGAGCAAGGCTGGGGGTTCGTGGTCACCAAAACCTTCGCTTTGGATAAGGTTAGTGCGCCATTATTCGCAACGAACTTGACTCGAATGACTAGTAATTTGTAGAACATCGTCACGAACATCTCGCCTCGGATAGTCAGAGGTAATACATCGGGGCACCACTACGGGCCGCAGTTGGGCTCGTTTTTGAACATCGAGGTCATATCCGAGAAGTACCTGGAGTACTGGATACGAGGCATCGAGGAGCTCAAGCGAGATTTCCCTCGCAAAGTAACTTTATTAACCGAAAGTAGCTTAAGAAACTTCAAGCGGGCTGTTTCAGGTGATCATAGCCAGCGTGATGTGCGAGTACATCCAACAGGACTGGGTGGAAATCGCCACCAGAGTGGAATCGGCGGGCGCCGATATGCTGGAATTGAACTTGAGCTGTCCCCATGGAGTCGGCGAATCCGGCATGGGTTTAGCCTGCGGACAAGTAAGCAAAATCCGATAATAACCTCTCGCAATTCGCCTATATCGCCTTCTTTCAGATTCCCGAGATGGTGGAGAACATCTCCAAGTGGGTGAGGAGCGCCGTGAAGATTCCTTTCTTCATCAAACTCACTCCAAACACGACGGATATCACGAAATTGGCCGCAGCAGCGAATAGAGGCGAGTAGAATGGGATTTGTATTTTGTAAAGTAATATAAATTTGCAGGAGGTGCTTGGGGAGTGTCTGCGATAAATACAGTATCTGGTTTGATGCAAGTGAACCCAGATGGTACTCCCTGGCCTGCGGTGGGAATAACCAAAAGAACTACTTACGGAGGTGTTAGCGGCAACGCTACCAGACCTATGGGATTGAGAGCTGTATCGGCTATAGCTAGAGATGTCCCAGGACTTGCTATTTTAGGTAAATATCTTCTTTATAAAACCTTTATTCGCTTCAACGGTAATTGATTTAAGGTGTCGGTGGGGTGGAGTCTGCAGACACAGCTTTGCAGTACATTCAATGCGGAGCTTCCGCCGTGCAAATTTGCAGCGCGGTGCAAAATCAAGACTTTACGCTCGTAGAAGATTATTGCACCGGTTTGAAAGCGTTGATGTACTTGGATGGTAAGCTCAACGGTTGGTTGGGGCAGAGCCCTCCTACCTACAAACACCAAAAAGGGAAGACGATCGTGCCGATCTACGACGAAACTGGAAAAGTACTGCATTAATCGCGAGCAATGTCGGTAAATTTCATCGATAATGATTGCAGAAACTGCCGCATTTCGGAGAATACCGAAACAAACGCGACGAAATCCTGAGCGAGCTGTACAAGGAATCCAAGCTGGAGGAAAAACGAACTCCACATCACGCTGATGCGATTAATATTTCCAGCGATAATTCCCGAATCCAGCACTCCAAGCCGCAAATTAAGGATTTCATCGGCAGGGCTTTGCCGAATATCGGAGCTTACAAAAGCTTGAACAACAAGGAACAAGTCGTAGCTTTAATAGACGACGTAAGTACTCGCCCTATAATGAAGCAAGTGATTATAAAATCGTGTTTTCGAAGGACCTCTGCATAAACTGCGGCAAATGCTACATGGCTTGCAATGATTCGGGATACCAAGCTATACATTTCGATCCAGAAACGCATATTCCAAAGGTCAACGACGATTGCACGGGTTGCACCATGTGCTTGTCCGTTTGCCCGGTCATCGATTGCATTAGGTAAGTTTATGGAAAATTTAATAAGCTTACATTAGTAATTAATTTAATTTTTAGCATGGTGCCGAAGACGATACCTCATGTCATAAAAAGAGGTCGCATCGGGGAACCCGTTAAGCTAATTCACGCGTTAGATCAGTTAGGTCAATAAATAATGATGCAAAGAATGTATTTAAAATTGGAAATAAAATGACTAGCATATTCACGAGTTGTTATTTGTAACCAACATTTAAATAGGTTATTAACAAACGTCATTTTGACTAACGCAAGTATTTTATTCAACGAATTTACAAACTAATGTTTACCCACGTACAAGTAATACTCTTAACTCTAGCCGTTATTTACTCAACAAACGATATCGATATAACAGTAAAATGTATAACTTCTTAGAAATACAACAAACTAACGCGAATCTTTTATAGGATTCCGGCATTTTACCCATCGAAGAAGACGACATGGCCATCATTTTCTGTACCTAATACATTCGATGAAGTCGATTTAATAACGCTCTAGCTTTCAGATCTCACCGTGAAGAATCAATGCGACAAAAACTTGGAGATAACGATCGCCATGAACGAATGCTGCGACTTGTCCAAGCCGGAGGAGAACAATAACTGCAACATGTACCTAATCGGCGGGTACATGGGCGTGTTGAAAGCGCAAGAAACCAGAAATGTCACGCTAATCAACCCGAACATGGTACAAACTCTTTCAATTGCAGGCATTTACTTCAACCAGTTCCTCTGTTCCAGTACACCTATTTCAGGAAAGGCACTTGCTCGATATCGGTGATATACAGAAGCTCCAAATTCGAGCGAATAGTCACGAAAATCGTCGATTTCCAAACCAACAGCACCGAAGAAGGTCTCATTTTATTCCACTAAACAACGCATTTCGTACTACCAAAACTTTCAGGTCGAGACATCTGCCCCACCTGCGATACAGATCCCACAGACAACTGCAACCAAGTCGACTGCGTCATCAAATACTTCGGCGAAAAGAGCTACTTCAATCCTTCCACCAAAGAATGCGAAAGCGTCCCCGTCTGCGTCGACAACCCCGCTTACCACGAACTAATAGTAACACCCCATCATTCTCTATCATCTCCCACAAATTCACAATTACAACCGCCCTCCAGGCCTACTCCTGGTTAACCAACAACTGCATGAATCTCAACAACACCATCACCAAATACGACTTGGAATACCTGGAGAACAACATGGCAGATTCCAGCGATGGTGATGCAGTCACGTTTGTATATAAGTAATTCAATTTTTTATTGAATAGAGTAAATTAAAGTATTTTAGACGAACGTAATCTGCCATCACGGTGACCTATCGGCGGACGGCGACTGCCAGTGCTCGGGCACCTGGAGAACGTCCCTCTTCGAAGACGACGTCTACGAGCCCTCGTTGTTCCTCTACCACATGTGCAACATCGAGCCGGGCGGCTGGAATTGCGTGAACCGCAACCGAATCGAAGCCACCGCCTTGATAATAGCCGTGAGTTTCCAACGCCCATTCATAGCGACAGCCAGTAACCCGTTCCGCGCAGATACTCTCCTTCACGGTGGCCACCAAGGTGCTGATACTGATGTGCCTGTTGAACTGGTGCTACAAGTACTTCCGCAAGGCCAAGAAGCCGGTGGTGTGCGCCGAGGATCCCGACGATTGCGCCAAGTCCTTCGTACTCTCCGAGAGCTCGAAGAGATCGTCCAATCGATGCGTTTGCGGGGACTTCAAGAAGGCCAAGTTCGATTCCTCCAACCAGAAGAACGCCGACGTCGCTTACTATCCCGGAGGACGTGGTAATCGATGATCGGATTTATTTTAAGTGTTCGGGACTGTTTTGGAACGGTTGCAGGAGCCGCGGAGTTTCGCATAAAGTCCGATTACTGCGTGCATTTGAGCCAGAGTTCCACCAACGAGACGGCGGATACTTTCGAAAGCGAAAGCGACGCCGCCAGTTGCTCGGAGACCAGCGATTATGAGATCGATTTTTCCGGCGATGAGGAGGTAAAATCGATGAATGAAATGATGGACTCGTTGATGTATTAGTTCGAATTGATATTAGGAAAATGAGAGGATCGAGGGTCAGGAGAACGATTCTACGGAGGAAATCGAAGATAGCAAGAAAGATGAAAGCGACAGGAAAATAAAATTTCACGAAGGTGAGAACGCTCGGAAGGCAGGTAGTAACGTTTAAGGAGGTTTTTCTATATTATATTTTATTAAAATAGCAGATAAAAAAATAGATATTTTTATTTATCTAAACACAAACAAGTTTATTAGATTTACTGAAGCTCCAATATAACTACCAATTTTCGATTAAAAATTGCAACCGTTTAACAAAATAAAAAAAATTGTTTAAATAAATGAAATATTGGTGTAGTTTCGTTCCACTATTTCACTAACAATAACCAAACAAAATACATCGAGAAGTTCTACAAAATATACAGGTAGTTCCGCCATCGTTTGTACCAAGCATATAGTTTCTGAAAAACCTACATTAACCGTACGGCGACGTTTTTTCGGTGACGTTGCTGAGCTTTACAGAAACGAATTCCGATCCGAATTCCACAAACTGCGCGACCCCGTGTTTCTTCGATTTCCTGCGGGAAATCCCCCTCTCATCAATCCCATCCAGACAAAACCGAATTACGAGGGACGTTTCCAAAGCTCCGACCTCAAATCGCGGAAGTTTTGTAAACATCCCTCGTAGGAAAACAACCCCAACTCACTTTGATCGGCCGGCAAACGGACAAGCCGGCGCGAATTTCCTCCCTTTAGCGCCGGTCCGTTTGATCTTCGAGCCGGCCTTGCAACGGCACTTTTTGCATAAACACACCTCGCACGGTGCCTTGTTCGAGCCGAACGCCGCCAATTTGCTTTCCGGCGCTCTTTCCACCAAACTTTCGTAATCTAGGGAAATGCAGAACGTTTCTACTTCGACTCCAAGTCGTACTTCTATTTACCTACATGCCAACTTACCGCGCTGATTAAACTAAAAAACCGCTTGCGATACCATTAGTTCATTCGTTTGGTGCGCATTAAATGTACAGTGCGAGCTAAATGTAATGAATAAATTCATTTTCTCGACGTTAATGTAGGTATTTATAAAAAGAAGCACAACCTTTTGATTCTAAAAATTAAAGGAATTGCTTCAAAGAGGAGAAGTTTTGCTCCGAGGAGTCTGCTGTTGCTTTAAAGCAAAAGGTTTTAAAATGTTTGTATAAGGTTCTAGAACCTGTTTCTCTTATTTTCGCCGCTACCTTTTACTTCAAAGTAAATGCTTCATTTTTAAAAATGTGGGCCAACATTTAGACAGAGGAAGCTTCCAAAAATCGACCAATTCCAGCGGTTTCTGAATTATACAAACACTAACTGACAAAACGATTTTATTTATTACAAACAGTCCACACTATACCTTAATGCTACACACTCTAAACCAAAACGAATCGAAAAATAAAAAAAAAACCCAAAGAGCCAACGAACCCGTTGTCCTATTACCATCCAATCGCGTTTAGTATCACACCGACCGAACCGCCTACAGAATGAAACGTTTTACCTGTTTCGTGCAGCTCCCGCGACGAGTTGGCCTCCTTCTTGGCGGCCTCCTGCAGCGCCGCCCGCGACGCGTCCGGCGAATTGGGCGGCACGTACGAGCCCCGCGGCTCCGCCGTCGGGCCGCGCGCCCTCCTCGACAGCGACCCCGACGGGGTGCGAGCGCGCGGCGCCTTCGACAGCCGCAACACGGGCTCCGCCTCGTCCAGCGACTCCCGCATGTCGCGCCGGTGCTGCAGCACCCGCTGCTTGGTCACGAACACCGAGTCCTTGGTGGCGATCAGCTTCGTGTGGTGTTTGAGTATCGATTTCTCGGCGCCGATCTGGCGCTGTCGGTCGTCGGGGATCAGCACGTGGACCTGTCGATCGCTGGTCGAGGCTTCGGCGATGCTGTCGATTTCGCCGTGTTCGAGTTTGTGCTTCATGACGTGCGCTTTGTTTATGTACATGGAGTCCTTGGGCAGGGCGGTTTTTCTGTCGCTTTGGACGTAGGTGATGCTGGGCGCGTCTTGGATGTGGATCCGTTGGGGTTCGTGCTGTTCGAAATCGCTTTCTTTCTCGTCCATGTCGAGCTTGTGCTTGGCCTCTCGCTCCTTGGTGACGAAAATCGAGTCTTTGGGGCGCTTCGCGTGCTGTTTGTGGTGTTTCCTCGACGCCGCGTCGGCGCTTTTGTTCGCCTCCGATTGGCGCTTTTCCTTGGCCTGGCGCAACTTCAGCCGGAACTGCTCCAAGCCGACGTCGATCGATTTTCGCGCGCTTTTCTTCTTGCTCATCAGGCGCTCTTTGGTGACGAAAATCGAGTCTCTGGCCTTGCGGTCCAAGCGTCTTTTATTCACGAGATACGAATCTTCCAGCGTGACCGCTTTGAAGAGATCGCCCATGTCGATTTCGTCTTCCAACGCCGATTCGTCCTTGTCCTTCAGCTTCTCCAAGCGCTCTTTGCTCACGTATATCGAGTCTCGCACTCGGTTGGGGTTGAAGGTCTCCTCGTAGTCGTCGTCCAGTTCCTTCTCGTTCAGGAAGGTGGTGGATTTTTTGGCCGCGGGCTTCGGTAGCGGCTCTTCGCTTTCGATGTCCACCACGGCCAGCAGTTTTTCCCGGCTCGACGCCTGCGGCTCGGGCTTTTCCTCCTTCGTCGGTGCGTATTCTTCTTCATCGTCGTCGTCTTCGTCGTCTTCGTCGGTCGGGGCCGGCGCGGCGGGTTCGTTTTGACCTAGATGGGGGAAAACAAGGGAATTGATGGATTAGAAGAGTGGAAATGCGGAAGGAGCAGCCGGGTCGTGAAAGGTGGACTCGAGATTTTTGGGGGAGGTAATTGCAAATTTGATACCTCTATAGCATTTTGGTTGATGCGAATAAAGGGTTTGACAATGTAAAGGACGCGATGCTCTGCATATAGAGATGTAGTAAAATATTTTGTACAGTTCGTTGATTATTAGGATACTTACGTTTTGTTAATAAACTAATTAGCCATTCAATTAATTAGATTTCGTTCGGTTTTATTTTACCTTTCTAATTTCGCATTATAACTTGGTCAAAAAGCCGATTCGAGAATTATTTATACATTTTAAATTTTTAATACTTACATTTGGATCTTTGTGTGGAGCTTTGTAGTTATAAAATTAATTGTCAAACCCTTTAAAGTACCTTCATGAAGCATTTTATTGTTTACACATCCTCGACTCGAAGTGGAATGTTGGCTGGAACTGTCTGGGGGTATGTGTGGGTACATGAAAAGAGAAATTATTATTCCAAAATTTATTATTTGTGTTAAATACACTATAAAATAATACGCTAATTTAAATGTAGCCTACTTAAAATAAATCATCACTAAAATTTCAAGCGCTAGAAAAACAAGTTCTAAAGTAACGAGTAAAAAAAAATATATATAGTGTCAATTTAAGAGTAAAACGGATTGACAGACATTATTTTATTCAAAAAGTCCGAGGTCAGAGACACCAAATGGGTCATTACCTAAAAAATATACGCCTGTTATTTTAATTTCTAAAACCTTTTAAAACCTAAGTCTGAGGAAGCCCTGAGGTTATAGGTGCTTAAACCGGTTTCGTCCCCGTAACCTAAAAAAACACACCTGCATATAAAACAGGTTATACGGAAGGTTTTTTATGTTTAAAAAATGTTTTTCAATTTTTAATTTCAGACCAAATCTGATGAAGAAACAATTATTTTAGAAGTAATATTTAGGCTTTGTAAAAGAACGCAAAAAATGTTGATTAACTGAGATAAATTTTATCACAACCTAGCTAAAAATCAGTTAATTTTGAGCCGGTTTTACCGATGAAAAATAAGAAACTTTTGCAAATTTCGAACCACCCAAAACTGACAGTTAACCAGTGACCAAAAAATGTCACAAACCAACCAAAATTTGCACAAATTCCTTCATTTTCCACAACAACAAAAACAACGAAACAGAACCAGAATTTACCTTGCGTGGAAAACACGTGAACGATTTGATCCCCAACGGCGTTCTCTTCCCCGGCGTTCACCTTCGACGTCTGCATCTTCTTAAACTTCAACGCCTCCACGGAGCCCTTCCTCTCGGCCGCCGGCACCCTCGTACGCGGCACCGTCGGCTTCTCCCACGTCGTGTCCCCCACGTCAACGCGCGACGTCCTCTGAATCACCTCCACCTCGCCGTCGGGCAACAACAGCGACACCTGTCTCTCCATCACCGCCGAACTGTACACCCAAACAAACGATCAAAACCAAACTCCCCAAGCCCTACTCGATCGTCTCACCCTCGAGGAGTCAACTCTTCGAGATCGGCGAGTATGGACGAGCGCGGCGGACCCGCAGCAGGAGCGACAAACGGCTGTACAGGAGCTGGTTTGGAAACCGCCGGTTCGGTCGGTTTCGGCGACGCTTCCGCCGGTCCTGGTGCTTGCGATAGATCCGCTGTCGGGGCCTTCAGAACGCTGCTTCTCGGTTCGGATGCTCTGGGTACCGCCGGCGCGGAAATCGGCTCCGATGCCGTTCTGCTTGCGCGAACTGAACCGCTTTGTTGGCTCGCAGCAGGACCGGAACTCGACTGTTTCGACGCTCGCGTCCCCACGGCACCTTTGGAATCCGCCGGGGATTTTTCGCGAGGCGGAACCGCCGACTGTTCCGCTTCACCTTCGTCCTCTTCGATGTCTAATCAGCATCGATTAGTACTAAACGCTACGAAAACCAAAAATCTATCATCGTACCTCTGCCGCCTTCGGATCGCGTTTCGTTCATATCCAACACGTGATCGAGTATGACTTGCGATATATCTCTCAATTGCATCTCGCTGAGATCGTGCCCGTAGGCTCGAGTCAACACCAGCGCCGACACGGCCTCCAGTTGCTGCTCGCTGGGCATCTTCAGGAACGTGGAAACGTCGACGAACGGCAGATCTACAAACCAACGATGCAATTGAAGCCTCTACTACTTCCAAGTCGAAGCCTTTAGGACAGTAATTAGAAGTAGTAGGGGACTCACTCAACGAGGATATCTCCGATATAATGCTCTTGGTGAGATCGTGCAAGAACGGCGTGGCCATTCGAACGTTGACGGTCGAAGCCGTCGAAGCGTTGGACTCGTCTTCGTGCGTCTCCTTCGATTCGTCCTCTTCCACGCGGCCGGTGCTGGAACCGGTGGCGTTGACCGATTTATCGGACGTTCGCACACGCACGATTTGCTCTTCGGTCTGGTGGCCTCGGTCCACTTTGAGCGGCTCCGCGACGCGCTCCGGCGTCGATTTCACCGACGGTCGCTCCTGCGTTTGCGTGTGCTCGTCGACGAAGGACCTGTCCGGTTGAAGCGCCGGCGGCGGCGGCGGCGGCGGCGCCGGCGGCGGCGGCGGCGGCGGCGCCGGAAGCGGCGAAGGAACCTTCGGAAGCGGCGGAATCGGCGTGGATTGCACGGAGGGCTTCTTCAACGACCGTCTCTCGCAGACTTCGGACGGTCTGCGCGAGCTCGAAATGGATTCGGCGTGCGATGTTCGCTGGACGGCCGGTTTGGGGACCGGTATCGGTTCGGAGCGTCGCTCGACTGGGTTGTTTAATAGAGTAAAGTACTGGTATTGTTGTAGAGAATGCGAGAAACTCACTTCGAGAGGCTAAGGGCGTTCGCATGCATATTATGGCGGGATTGGTGTTGCATTCGCAATTCTTCTTGCCGCACCTGCAAGGCGGCTTCACCAAGTTGCTCCTCCACATTTTGTAAGCGCCCGATTTCTTCTTCTCTTCGATGACATTCACGAATCTATACTGGACTTGTTCTTTTTCCTTCTGTCTCAACGCCCAATCCACTTCTTTGCTTCCTGGAAGAAGATGAAGGAATCGTAGCGAATTTGTATAATTGCGTTGTATAGGAGTACCTTTCTTATCGCCGCGTTTGGCTCGCTTCGAAACCGATTCCCACTTGTTCAGCGCTTTTACCTCTTCTTTGGCGGTGGCTGCGTCGATGTCGGTGCTGTATTCTTCCATCGGGATTTCCATGCTTTCGCACAATTTGCAACGAGCTTGGGCGACCAACTGCAAAACGAACGCAGCACAATAACCCGCATTTCAATCATCTTCACTCACTTTCACTTTGTCCAGCTTCTTGTCTTTGATCTCCTTCAGGGCGGCCAACCACAAGGTCTTGTACTCGGCGTGGACTTTGTCGGTGGCTTCTTTAATTAGAGCGTTCACATCGGGAGGTTCTTCGACCGATAGAGTTTTAGTTTCTTCGATGGCGGGTTTCTTCTCGCGCTTCCGCCGGTTTTCTATGATGGTGCATTTGATGGGCTCCAGATTCTTCTCCATCACGCTCTTCCAGAAGGCGATGCACTTCTGCGTGTCGTTTTCGTTCACGCTCTCCTCGAATATGAACGTCTGAAAGTACAATTTCGGCTGTTATTGGTCGTCGATTGGCAATCGAGTGGTAACCTTGTAGAGGGATTCGCCGGATTGATCGGTGGTGTCGGTGGAGGAGCGGCTCTTGGACTCGGAGCCCACCGATTCGGCGGCGGCGCTTTTGGGGGGCCCGCCGGCCGTCACCGTTTTGATGTTTTCGCTTTTGATGTAGCATATCACGTCGCCCTTGCGGACGCACTTCTTGGGCGTCGCGGCGGCGGCGTCCTTGCGGACGCAGGCGCCGTCCGACGGCTCGTGGTACTGGCCCATGAAGCCGTAGTTGCCGTAGTAGCCTTCGTCGAAGTCGCCGGTGATTTGGTCCACTAGCTGGCGAGGAAATGAGGTTGAGAGGGGAGTTGGTTTGGGGATTTTTTTTTTTCGTTACCTTTTCGTCGTCGTCCATTTTGGATACTTACCTATAGATTTGTGGCGATATTTTTGATCGAAAAAGTCGATTTCAAATCTAAAAACTGATCGGGTGGGATTATAGGAATGTATTTTGCGAATTGGAAAATCCTTACCGTGAATATTATACAAACAGAAAAATGACAATAAAAATTGGTATAAAATTATAAACGTCGTTTGTCTTTATTGGATATATTGTAGATACGACTAGATCAAATACACCTTGCTCCATTTCCGATTGCAACATGGTCATTCCTATGAGTGGAACAAAGAAAGATTATTAAAATGACAGTTGTCAGAGTGAAAAGTTATACAGGAGCAACCTGTATAATGCAATCTTCTTTTTGGAACCGGAACAAACCCTTCAAACTTTTGACGCGCGTCAATGATTTAGATAACAAAATTTTACCTCTCGGTATTTGTTGTTCAAAATTTCGAGCCATGTGAATAGCAGACCAACATCCAGCTATAATTAAGCCTTTGGAAAATCTTCAAAATTTACAATGACAGTCGAAGGTCAGTTGAATACATTCACCAAACCCTCATACCCACCATTCTCTTCATACAACAACTATAACTCTTTAATGCCCCTTTAATACCACGGTGAACATCCGGAAGGGGCTACATCGAGGTTTAATGTCGATGTAAAACAACGGTATTTTTGTGTATTTCTTTGTAACACTTATTTCTTGCATCATAATAAACCACATTAGGTCTGAAAAATATGATTTTTCACTCATAATATCGAAAAACCAACATTTTTTTATTCTTAATAGAAAGTATACAAAAGTTCAAAAATTCAAAAGTTATGGCCGACATTACACAAATGTCACCAGAGTGAGTGAGATATATAGTCATTGACATTCATTGAAAAGAGATGATGCGACAACGTGCTTTTGACATTTCTCTTCTAAAATAAGCAATGTTGTCAGATGGTTTCAGAAGTGCGGCGCTAAAATGCAGAATATGCTACTACATATATCTCTCATGTATCATTTGCACGGATACGAATCATTTGCGAAGGTTTTTGTAGCGCTTTCTAGTTGTTTTTCTAATGGCGTGATATTTATATTCGTAAAAAGTACTTTTCGGTTGATCTGACAACGTTGCAAATGTTGGCCTTGTACTTAACCAAACATTGACCAGTGCATTTTTCAGTTTTTCTTTTTGAATTCTACCAAAACTTCCTATCTTATCTTATTGCATATTTTACAAACATCGACGGCAGGTCCGCTGTGGGAGCAATGGGGCCCCTGCGACGCCCCGATCGTCATCCCCGACGACGACGTCAGGCTGCGCCTGGAGCCGTGCGACTACTACAAGAAGCGCCAGGAGCTGATCCGCAAGCGGTACATACCGCGGCTGAAGGAGGTCGAGCCGCTGCTCGGGCCGCTGCTGGCCCGGCTCGTCTACGACGAGTGCGACGTCGGCCTGCGCCAGTTCATCGAGCAGGACGTGCTGTTCGCCCCCTACGGCGACATGTGGAGCTCGCCCAGCGACCTGCTGCGCCAAAAGCTGGTGCTCAAGGCGCCCGAGAACAAGCTCCAGATGAAGAACCTCAACCACTTGGGAATTATCGGTACGTAACTTAACTGTTTCGATCGAATTTCTTCTTATGAGATGCTCGGGTTTTAGAGAAGGGAGCGTCTATTGAGCAACGTTTCTTGAAGAAACTCCACCTGGACAAAAAGACCGCTTTGAAGAGGCAAAAACAAGAGTTGATTGAAGAGTTCCAGAAGAGCATCGAGGACGAAATCAAAGCGGTAGTGGAGCGGGAACGGAACGCTTGCAGGGAGAAAGTAGCCCAATTTAGTGAAAACTTCAAATTACTACTGGTATTAGTCCACTTCCTCACCTCCCCATCCGCTTCAAGTTTCATTATTTTCGCAGGAGGAAGAACTGAAGGATACGACGAAGAAGCTGCGCAAGGAGTTCGGCGAGCAAACGGTGCAGCACGATGCTCTGAACAAGCGCGAAGGGGACATGATGCTGGAGAGCGCCATCGAGAACGTCACCAAGAACATCACGCAGCACTTCCTCGACGAGCTGAGCAAAGAAGAGGAGGCCGTGGCTTACAATTTGCTCAACCAATTGAGGTACTTTTGTCGATGAGTCGAGTTTGGGAACGCTTTGAGTCTCGGTACTTTCGCAGGGGCATCGAGGTGAAGAGGACTTATTATTTGGAGAAGCAAGAGGCGGAATTCGACGCCAAATTGGAGGCCATTAGATACAACCTCGAATGCAGGAGCATCGTTAACATGTTCTACATCATCTTCATGGAGAGGCGAAAGTGCCTCGAGGAAAAAGAAGCTTTGAAAATGTATTACAAAGACGAAATAAACGACATATTCAAGATCATCGGCAGCAATCAAGAGAAAGTCGATAAAATCAAAAACGATGTAACCGAAAAAAATGTATTTATCAATCTACAATCTAATCTACTTTTCTGCATAGATCGAACACGTTTTGAAAGACATAAAGATCCGCGAAATTTGCATGTCGGAGATCCTCAAGCGGTACCAATCGTTCGTCAAGATAGCGCTGAAGAACGCGCCGGCGCACGCCAAGTTCCTGCTGTCGATCGAGAAGCTCCTGCTGTTCGAGCTCACCGAGACCCTGTCGAGGCTGAAGCCCTGCCCGGAGCCGGTGCGCGTCATCGAGCCCGAGGAGGAGCCCGGCGAGCCGGCCACCGTCGTACAACCGGAGGTGAAATCGGACAAATCCGTCGCCAAGCCGGAGGAGGACAAGCCGTACGTGTTCGACAGCAAGTTGTACGTGAAGGAGAACTTCCGCAAATTCAACGAGTACCTCTCGAAAAGCATGGGTGAGCGCTCGAATTCCATTTTCATCGATATCGTCCACTGCTCGGGTTCGTTTCTTGTGTAGATAAAGACGATCTTTGGGGCAAAGACGCCGATTTGTTCGTGGTGCAATTGAAGAAAAGCGTACCGGAGATGAAGAAGAAGAAACATCAAGTACCTGAAGTGAAAGCCACCAATTCCATGTTGCTGCATATCAGCAAAATGATTTTCAACGATGAACTATCGTAAGTGTATTTCATACGCGTTTTTTTTTCTACTAAATAACACGTTTATTTGTATAGAAACACTCCCGCGAAAACTTCGGAACCGGAACCAAACAAAGAGGTTCAATGCGCCGATGAAATCGTCAAGCAAGCTCTAAAAGAGGAAGAACCCAATCGGTTATCGAACAAGTTGAAAAGACCCATCAAATATCCGAAGGTAAAATACAATAATCTGTATATTTCCGCGTTCAATTTACCTCTGTCGCGTTAGATCGAAGAGGGCAAACCCAGCGCGATAGACTATTCGAAAATCGGCACGTTCGAACGGGCCGCCAGCCTATTAACCTCCGCCAATTCCGTGGAGTTGCTCTATCAGAAGGCGTCGATGCCGCGCAGCGACGTCCCCAAGAGCGACGACGGCGCCCCCGTCAAAAAGGAGCCTGTCTCGAAGCGATCTACCAAGAAGCACGGCTTAGCTCCGAAGAGGATAAAGAAGGAATCGCCTCCGAAGAGGGAACCGTCCAGCTCTAAAAAGGAATTGTTCAAACGTGAGTATATTACTTCGAACGTTTGCTGGAAACTGTCGGGAATTGAAACTCTATGCAGATTCGAGCGCGATGTTGCCGCTAGAAGCTCGAGACTCGATGATCTTGCGGCAGTGTTCGATGCTGAAACAAAGGACTAGAAGTTTCTCGTTGTCGCCTAGAGATTCCATTGAGGTGAAAAACGAGTCGATGATGTCGTCGATGCTGAAGAAGCAATCCTCGAAACTCCTAACGACTCGCGACTCCATCGCCATTCTGCGAGAATCCATGTACGAATTAGACATCTACATAAATGTTGGTGTGTTATTTTTTTTATTAATTTTTAGGCTCGCGTTGGAGACGGCGGGATTGTGCAGCATCTGCCACGAGAAATACTGGCCGAAGATACCTCTCCTGCACAAGGATTACGGTTGCGAGAAGTGCAGGAACCCCAGCAACGAGTTGCTGGAGACGAGGAGCAAGAGCAAATTGGGCGATAAGAACAGACCGTCGAAGCAGCTGACGTTGTCCCACATCGAGATCATCGAAACCGAGAGGGAATCGCCGGCTAACGTGGTCATATTGCCGGTGCCTACGTTGCTGAGTTCGAAGGAAGACGAGGCCACCAAGCCCGTTTTCCAGCCCTCTAAGAGGATAGGTGAGTTCGATTTTTCTTATGGTCTTCTGTATTATGTTGCGTTTGGTTTTAGAGAAGAAAGGCAAGACGAAAGAGGACCCCTGCAGTAAAATTGCAGCTCCAACGGCGAAAATCGAGGGCGATCCGACTACCAATGAATACGCTCAAGATAACGACGAATTCACCAAAGATCGAATTCGATCGTTCATTAAACTTATGGACAATTGCCCTAATCTCATTAGATTGTTCACGTCCTGTCAGCAGTAGTTTATTTTGTATTGAAATTTGTCATATTAAACAGTTTTCGAAACGTTAATGATGCTGTTTTTGGAGTCTCCTCCACGCTGTAGAGTAGAGACCGTTTTGATTATCTTTGGTTGCATAACCATCAGGAATATAAGTCTTCTTGCTCTTCGTATGCTCTTCGTATTCTAAAAAGAAGAAAACAACTTTCAAGCTGACAGCAGATATCAAATTTGTTACTTAAAAATCCAGTGAAAATGGGCAAACCGAAAAAGCGAGTACTCTCTCATCTAAATTCAAAAGAAATTACATCCAAAGAGTTTTTTGCAGATGGCCGGCGATCAACTACAGGTACGTCCCTACCATAAAAAAGGCGAAGAAGAAACTGGGACCGTTCTGGTTCCTGCTGTACGACACCTGCGTCTGCGAGCCGTGCGAATGCATGGAGAAAATCGAGCGGGCGATAAAAGGCGACACCTGGGAATCCCCCAGCGACACGCTGCAGGGCAAAGTGATCATGCATCCGCCTTACACCAGGAAGTACATACAAGCCAGCGTGCACCGGAAAATCCTGGGTAAGAGGTGTTGTATGTTAAACGATTATCTAACTAAGAGAGTTTAGAAATCGGAAGTGAAGTCGAGCAGAAGCTTCGGCAGGAGTACGAGGTCGACAAGCAGCTGGCGCTGGAGCAGCAGGAGAAAGGACTGTCGAAGGAGTTCCACGAGAGCATCTTGGAACGGTTGAAAGACGCCGAAGCCGTGGAGAAAACGGCTTGTTTCAGGGAACTCCAAGCGCAAGCTGAAGAATTCGAGAACACCCTTGTATGTGATAACCGATCAATTTATCTATTATACGTACTAAGTAATCAACAGGTTGATCAAATTGACGAATTGGAGGGGAAAATGAAGGTGGCGTTCGATGAATTCAGCAGCGCGCACCAGAAGGAACTCGACGAAAAATTGCAAGAGAAACTCAGCTTAGCCGCCGAAAGCACCGCTAAAACTCTAACGAAGCGACTCCTCAGCGAGCTGGTTATCCAAAAATCGATATACCAAAAATACTTCGACACCAAAATAAAGTAAAATTCAATCACCGCGTAACGTTTGCACCTCAAAAATCGCCATCTTCCAGGAAAAAAGAACTGGAAATCGACTACAACAAATCGAAACACATCAACCAGCTGGCGCAGCACCTGAAGATCGAGAAGCAGCGCATCGAGTGCACCAACATCGCCAACATGATATACGTGCTGGTGATGGAGAGGCGAAAGTGCGCCAACGAGCTGGAGACCATCAAAGAACGTTTCGCCTCGCTGAAGACCCAACTCAACCGCAAGGTCGCCATTCAAATGGAGACTATCAAGCGGCTGGAGAAAGATCTGCAGAACAACATGAAGCAGGTGTTCGTGCGCGAACGGTGCTACAAGGAGATCCTCAAGCAGTACCAGAAGTTCATCAACTACGCCCTGAAGGCGTGTCCCACGCAGGCCCAGTTCCTGCTCAGCCTCGAGAGGCTGATGTCCTTCGAGCTGGCCGAGATCCTGCCGCAGGAGAAGAACCCCAACTACCACGGCATGCCGCGCCTCTGCGACACGATATTGCCCTGGGTGCACGCCGGGCAGGAGGGCAAGCGCAGGAGAAACGTCGCCGGTTTGGAGCTCGACGACCATCACGATTGCTTCAACGAACTGGCCATACCCAAAGTACCGGGAGAGACCGAGTTCCCTTCGTTCTATTACAAAAACAAATTGTACGTCAGAGAGGATTTCAGGAATCTGATATCCCAAGGCATCGGTACGTTTCGCGAAGCTTCAAAGTTTCGCATTATTAATGGCAGCTTTTTAGTATTGACGCCTAGTCATGATATGTGGAGCGAAGACCTCGAAATACTGATGGGTATTCTGAAAGACTTCTCCAGCGAGAAAACCATTTACGATAAACTAGAAGAAGCCGATCTTACAGAAAAGTATGTATTGCTTTTTCATTTAAAGCAACAATACGATGATTCTTTCATTAAAGATCGGCCGATACTCACGCGGATCTCGTCCAAACGAAACCCATTCTAGCTCCGTTAACACCGAAGGTACCACCGAACAAGCCACGAAATGAATTATTCTCACAACTAACTCTCGTTTAGGACAAGCAGATGATATCGGAGTACGTGCAGGCGGGCCCGCTGGTCGAGAATCCCCCCTACATGATAGCCGTGCGCAATTCGCTGGAGTTCCTGCAGAAGCGGCGCGGCGCCCGGGAGGCCGCCGCGCTGCCGGACATCGCCGAAGCCGCCAAGGAGGAGGACGAGGAAAAAGAGGAGTCGGGCGAGGACGATAAGCCGCGCAAGGAGCCGAGCCTCGAAGAGAAGATCGAGAAGGAGCTGAAGGTCGACGTGCCCTCCGACACGGGCACCGACATGAAGAAGCTCAAGCAGTCCGAAATCGAGTTCAGGACCTCGTTGTCGTTGGGTAAGCCATCTCTATGACCACAGCGAATCGTAGTTCGATGTAATCGTGATTCGAAGAATCGGTGGTGGTGGAGGACCAGCGACAGAGCGTCGCGTCGGCGAAGCCGCCGGAGCCGCCGAAGAAATCGGAGGAGCAGAGGAAGCGCCTCGAAGTGAGGACCGATCCCAACTTGCCCGCCATGCCGCCGAGAACGTGCAAATTGGCCACTTCCAGAGACTCGGTGGCTTACCTGAGAGAATCGAGGTAATATTGATTCGTCTTCTGTTAGACGTAGACCTCTTCGAATTCATTCTATTCAGACAAGCGCTGTTGAAGCCGGCGCCCATCAACGTGGGCGCGAAGCGCGAGGAGAGGCGGTTCCCGTCGCTGACGCCGGCCACCGAGTACTGCTGCGAGAAGTGCTTGAAGAAGCGAGGCCTGGTGCTGAGGCCGCTCGACGTGAAGGTGGTGAAGGGCGAGCGCGAGAAGGCGAAGGCGGGCGCCGAGCCGGCGGCGAAGGCGTCCATCGTGTTGGAGACGGCCGACGAGAAGCTCGCCGCCGAGTTCTACCCGAACAAGCTGATCGATTTGTACAAGGAGCAGAATTTGAGGAGTAAGTCGGTGGGTGTGCGAGGTTATCGATTTGTTTTCGTTCGTTTTAGCTAAAAGTAGGAAGTCGGAGGTGAAGAAGAAAGCGAAGACGTCGAAGTTGGTGGTAGACGACAGCAAGGGCGAGGATGTTGTGGTGTTCGATAATGATTATACGATAAAGCGTATGAGGTCGTTCATTTCCTCCATCAGCGAGAAGCCTCAGCTCATCAAATTGTTCACGGCTTGTCAGAGATGATTTTTGTGCAATTAAAAACGATGTCGGATTGTTGACAATTTATTTTTCTAATGAATTAACGGATTTATCAGCGCCGCTGGGCTTGCATCTCCGATCTAGCTAACAGGACTTGCTTGTATTTATTTAGTTTCTCTGTAACGTATTCCTCGGCGGAGAATTCCTCGCCTTTTTTGCACCGTTGTATCAGCATGCTGACGAATTCCTTTTCTTTCTTCAACTCGCGTCGCTGCCTTTTCTGCAAGTAAAGGATGAATTAATGTTTAGCGAATAGTTTAATTTTGTACCCACTTTTGCCCATTCGTATTTCATCCGTTTCCTTAGTTTCCTCAATTTGTGCCTCTTCATTTTCTTCCTTCGAATCACCAGCATCGTAATGGCCTGTTTCTCTATGCTATCGTCCTGTGCGGGTGCTTCGATTTCTTCCCGTTGAATCGGGTCAACGAGGGGCAAAATGGTTCTTAATCCATTCGGTAGTTCGAAGTTTAGATTTAAACTGTTGCTTTTGGGTAAATTGATGTCCTCGTTTCGCTTCCACATCCATGAATTGGAGCCGATTGGTACATGTTCAATCGAAGGTAGTGGTATGGAAACGGGAGTGCTGCACACTCTGTTTTGCAGGTGTAAATTCGAAAATTGGACTGGAATGCATAACTTGAGTGTGTAAAGAGAAAATTTAGCGATTCGAATAATTACCTATGATATTGTTTAGGTTTTTAAATCGTAAAATTCTGGATGATAACATTTTGAATCGTTTTTATAACCTCATTCTTCTTATTTATTATGTAATTCATATTATGTCAAATGTCACTTTTACTAAAACAATGGTCTTTACTAATCAGATCGTCCAGTCACTCCAGAATACTGTCAAGTGTCAAAAAAAAAGAAAATATTACTCGATTACTCATTGATTGGAGTTTTGGAGTACAATATTGAGATGCATGTTTTTAAATATATTTTTATTGGTATAGTTAACAATAATGAAGTGCTTGTTGTAATTCCGGAATTTTTCAGTAAATTGTATTGAAAATGTGCTAATTTCGTGAACCTGGACCATACGGCATATTCATTTTATTCTGTAAGTTTTAGGTTATGTTTTTAATGTTTCATAATGTAATACGTAATAATTCCTGTTTATTAATTTCTTAATTAATGCCACATTAGTTGCTAATTGTTTTCTCTGAACTCAGTATGTAAATATTTAAAGAGCCATTTAGAGTGCTGCTACTGATCTTAGATAAGAAGCTTTTGACTAGGAGTGTTTGTTATTTGTTTTCTACATGTTATGTTATATTTTTTTCATCTAAACTAAACTAAACTGTTTTATTATTTTAATTTCGCAATCACTACTTTCTAATAACGTATGTACTTTTATTTACACGTTGATAAAATTCTTCGAAAACTATCTGTTATAGGAAAGTTAAATGGTAAATATACAAGGAATGTATACAAGGAATTTGGATCTTTTTAATGGATAATTTAAATATCCTGAATTTAAAGTAAAAATCATGAAAATTTCAAGGTATCGAATAAAGTTAGCAGCTAAAATCGGTCTTCGAAACAATTACTCGATGTATCGACTGAAGATAGTAACTTAAGTAACTTTTAGCTTATCATATTGTCATTGACAGCAAATGTCAAGTGCGCACTTGATTTTTTTGATTCCATTTAAACTGGAATAAATTAATTGATGTACTAATTTTTTTAATTATCCTACACGCGAGTATTATTCGTAGCCTCGTGTGTTATCAAATAAACTCCCATAAAGTTAATTAATTAAGCAAAGTCGATTTATTCAACAAATAAACATTGAATTAAATTTTTTTATTAGGTATTATACAGTGCGTCCCTGAAATATTTAATAAATTTACATCACAAGTTTTTTAATAAAAAATGTGGAATAGGTAGATTTTTGATTTAATTCGCAAACATTTTTACGATACATTATCGTTAATCAATATCCAGCTTGATTAAAAACAACGAATTTATATCGCATAATTTTACACGCTGTATAATTAATTTGTCGCGTCATTTCCATTCCACCTGTGTTGTATTCCAATAAACTGATAATGAGAATGACTCGGCACAATTTCGAACGAGATTAACCTTCATCGGTAATGACAAACAAAAACAGATTTGGTTTACAACATTTTACATTAAACATTTAACGAACGAAAAAAAAAATATTCTAGTCATCGTAGTTTCGACCGGATAACGACGGCTCGAATCGCGCGGAGTTTGTACCGATACTCGAACACTCCCGCATAATCGCTCGTACTTAAGTACCCGAAAGATCGGCGAGATTCGGCCACGCTTACGATAAGAGATAAACGAATTAATCGGTTAGAGTTAAAGCTATAAGCAAACGGTGTCGAGTCTTTGCGAATTTCGGGTTTTACCGGACTGGACGAGAATTCGATTCGACGAAAACTCGAAAACGGAAAGTCATCACTTCGCGTTCGACGCCGGCCCGATGAAATAACCTTTTCGCCTTTTCCAGCCGATGTAGGTGATAGTACTTTTTTCTCTCCTGTCTTTCGATTCCGATTGCGATGATTTGGAGGTTCGGCGTGAGCGCGAGTCGCGTCGGATATTTTTTTTCGTCGGTTCGTTTTCCCCGTAGCGCACGGACGGAAATCGCGATGAGCGAGCGCGAGTGATTTTTTGTCGTGCGAAATTCGCGCATCGATGCATTAGGGAGCTGCGAGCGCTCGATCGCTGTGTAGTCGATTGATTATTATTATTTTTGTTTATTTATTGGTAGTTTAGTTTCGGAAAAAAATGGTGTACGAGACGAATCCGACAAATGATGTCGGTGTTAGGTGAGAGAATTTTTTTTTGATTTTTACAACAACCCCCGTAGTGAGTACTAAGCAAAATTCAATAGAAATGTATTGTAACAACTCCCCTTATTTTTCTATAATCCCTTTTTGCATTTAAATCGAACTTTTAGTCTTCTTACCCAAATTCGACGGTATTCCCACTATTTATTTAACAATTTACTCGTTTCGGAAGATTCGAGAGACATTGTGACGCTCGAAAAAGCCCCCGTTTAAATATTTTAGTAGAGATTAGAATCTTTTTTTTTTCGATGGATTAGATTGTATTTTGCCGACGTCCCCATTACGTCCTCTATTGTACGGTTTTTTTATAGTAGTAGGTTAGGAACATTGTTTGATTAGAGCGGTTGATTTTTCGCACGTGATCGTAAACAAACAAGATAATCGGTAAAACTGCAGCATCATGTCTGCTGTATCGATGATAAGGTATTGTTTTTTTTTATAGTTCGACCGATTTAATTTATGGGAGAATACGGAAAGGTTGAATGAAACTATAGTTGGTTTGTAATTTATTACATACAAATACTAGTTTTTTTTTGTGGAAGTATTACTATTGAAACAAAGTGCATACTTACGCCGGTTTATTGGAATTTGACGTCAATGAGATAATTAGATAATCTAGAAATAATAAGATTGTACAATGAGGAGAAAGTTTAAGTGTTTTATAAATGATTCGTCATGAACTAATAAAATAAGGATTACCCCAACAGCTCTTTAAAGATAATTTCGTATTGAATTTATATTTACATACAATTTACATTGCAGTTCTATAATGGATGGAGAAGAAGATTTTTACTCGTTCCACTCCCGGGCTAGCTTGAAAAGCCCCCCGTCGTCGGTGAACAACGAAATGGGAGAAATGGCGTTTATGATAGTCGATTATCTCAAGGAAGCAATGAAAGTAGGTAGAAAATCGAAGCGTAATCGGGCATTCTTTGGAGAAATGACTGTATACAGCAAACTTTCCAGGCCATGGACATGATGCGCGGCCACCAAATGCTCACCGACGTGATTTTAGAAGTGGGAAAAGAGTTTTTTTACGCGCACAAGGTGGTCCTGGCGGCGGCCAGTCCTTATTTCAAGGCGATGTTCACAGGGGGACTGAAGGAGTGCGATATGGACAGGATCAAATTGCAGGGCGTCTCCGCCACGGCGCTCGCTAGACTCATACATTTCATGTATACAGGCAGGATCAGGGTGACGGAGAACACCGTGTGCCAATTGCTACCCGCCGCTACAATGCTACAGGTATACTTTTAACGAATTTTTCGAAGAGGATATTAGAATTTGCGAACAATTTGCAGGTTCCTAACGTTATACAAGCTTGCTGTGATTTCTTAGAACGCCAATTAGACCCGAGCAACGCCATCGGTATCGCGTCGTTCGCGGAACAACACGGGTGCATCGAATTGTGCAAAAAAGCCAATCAGTACATCGAAAAACACTTCTCACAGGTAATGTATTTAAAACCAATCGTGAGGAGTACGACTTCATGGCATCATCGAATGCATACTTCTGACTTTTTAAACTTGTCACTTGTCAAATTAATTAAAACAAAAACTTAACCTCCAACAAAATCAACTTAAACAATTTTAAAATGTCGCATCCGAAGGTAGTTAAAACTTGTTTCATGCCGTTTTGTGAAAATTCTTCATTGTATTCTAAAAAAAAGTGTTTATTTTTGGCCCAATAAACTTGAAATAAAGAAATTACAATAACATAGCCTTAGATACGTCATCTGTCATTTAATGTTACATTTCACTTTTGTTCGTTTCTTCTATTCTTCTGAACATTTCGTTCGAATTCTTCTGCCACTAATGATTCAATACAACATACAAAGGGCTATATTTCCTAAAATATTGAATAGTTTGAGCAACTAAAAACTGTTTTGGGTTCTATTCAAATATTTTGGTTAAAAACCGTATATCTTATATTTACTATACGCGATAAAATTTTCCAGATATGTCGCGAGGAGGAGTTCCTGCAATTGTCCACGCTCCAAGTGATCAATCTGATAAAAAAGGACGAGTTGAACGTGCAGGACGAAAAGGAGGTGTACAACGCCGTGTTGAAATGGGTGAAGTACGACGAGGAGAGCAGACATCAGAAGATGGAGCCGATTTTGAGCGCCGTCCGTTGTCAATTCCTGCCGCCTCAGTTCCTCAACGATCAGATGACGAATTGCGAGGTGATTAAGAAAACGCCCGCCTGCAAGGAGTACCTAGCTAGGATATTTAAGGTAGAAATAATCGTGAATATTGTGCCAAATTGTTGTGAATAATGTGAGTATTTTTCGCAGGATCTCACGTTGCACGTTAAGATGGAAGATATCAAAGAAAGATGCCCGAATATACCGAGGGTTATCTACATAGCGGGCGGTTATTTCAGACAATCCTTGGATATACTAGAAGGTTATAACGTTGACGAGAAAGTTTGGTACAAACTAGCCAGGTTAACGGTACCGAGATCTGGACTCGGCGGCGCTTTTTTGAAGGTACCCACCCTTCTATTCACCTTAAAATTTTCACTACTTCTTACGATTTAATCGTTTTAGGGCATATTCTACGCGGTAGGCGGCCGGAACAACAGTCCCGGTAACAGCTACGATTCCGATTGGGTGGACAAATACAATCCCATCAAGGACACGTGGCGCCCCTGCAGCCCCATGTCCGTACCGAGGAATCGAGTTGGCGTTGCCGTCATGGATGGGCTTCTGTACGCCATTGGAGGCAGCGAAGGCAACAAATATCACAACACCGTCGAAAGGTAAATGTTCAATTCGAACATATACTAACTGTATTATACCAATCAGTTTCAGTGTAGATTCAGTGTATATCAAGCTACAACGTTATACTACACTATACTCTGAACTATACTTTACTATACTCACCGGTTCCAGTGTAGATTCATAGTTGATTCAGTGTGGATTCAGTGTATATCAAGCTACAAAGTTATACTACACTGCACTCTGCACTATACTGTACTTAACTAACCAGTTTCAGTGTAGATTAATAGTTGATTCAGTGTAGATTCAGTGTATATCATGCTACATAGTTATACTACATTGCAATATACTTAGCATAGTTGTGCTATAATATGCTGCGCAGTATACTATACAGTTTGTGTTGTTTTAGATACGATCCGGAGATAGACAGGTGGACCCAAATCACCCCGATGCATTACAAAAGATTGGCGGTGGGGGTTGCAGTGGTGTGTCGACTGTTATACGCCCTCGGCGGTTACGACGGCGTCGAGAGACACCGGAGCGCCGAGTGTTATCATCCCGAGAACAACGAATGGACGATGATCGCTCCGATGCACGTGCCGAGGAGCGGTGCAGGTACGCCTTTTCATCGCCAGGAAGCTACGAACGATTTATTTATTAGAAGGTTATATTCGCAGGCGTAGCGGCTATAAACCAATTCATCTACGTGATAGGCGGTTACGACGGCAAGAGGCAACTGTGTTGCGTGGAACGGTACGATACCGAGCGCGATTTGTGGGAGTTCGTGACGCCTATGAAGATCGCCCGGAGCGCCCTCAGCGTGACAGTGTTGGATTGCAGAATCTACGCCATGGGTAAGGGATTATTTCCATCTCTCTATCTATACAGTGAGGACCAAAAGTCCGTCGCCCCCCCTTTAACTTTTGAATGGTAAGAGCTTTTGTCGCGAAATTTGGGGTGTTTATATTGGAGTAAAAATACTATTTTTTGACGTAAAAATAACAGTTGAAACTTTCAAAATGACAGTTAGGCGTCATTTTGCATCTTGTTTTCTTATGGAAAGGGGGGTCAAGTGACACCTCGTTTTAAAGGTATTTTCATCCTTAAGTCAACCCCCAAAACATTTTAATAACGCGTATTCACGTGAAGGCCAATTTAGTTTTAACACCCGGGCATATTGATACATTTAAAAAATAATTCTGAACGTACTATAAAATGTGTCAATTAATTGTTGCTATGGTTTCTTGGCTCTGACATTTATTTGTCAAACTTAAAGTTGATGAAATTGACAGTTTTTTCGTTTAAAGGACGAGCCATTGTCACTTTCATCAACTTTAAATTTGGCAAATAAATGTCAGAGCCAAGAAACCATAGCAACAATTAATTGACACATTTTATAGCACGTTCAGAATTAATTTTTAAATGTATCAATATGCCCGGGGGTTAAAACTAAATTGGCCTTCACGTGAATACGCGTTATTAAAATGTTTTGGGGGTTGACTTAAGGATGAAAATACCTTTAAAACGAGGTGTCACTTGACCCCCCTTTCCATAAGAAAACAAGATGCAAAATGACGCCTAACTGTCATTTTGAAAGTTTCAACTGTCATTTTTACGTCAAAAAATAGTATTTTTACTCCGATATAAACACCTCAAATTGCGCGACAAAAGCTCTTACCATTCAAAAGTTAAAGGGACGGGCTCTTGGTCCTCACTATATATGTACGTTTTCCTCACGAATCGGTGGCGTTAAAGGTGGTTACGACGGCCAGAACTTTCTCAAAGACGTGGAGATTTACGATCCGGCTCGTAACACGTGGGAGGTGGGCGAGCAACTGACGTCCGGCAGATCGGGTCACGCGAGCGCCGTGTGTTTCCAACCGTGCATGCCCGAACAACAGGAACATTGTCCCGCCATGGCGGAAGCGCATCCGCCGCAACGTCAGTATTCTTCCGCGTCGAAGGGATAATGCATCTGCGAGTTGGTTTTTTCCACTAGTTTGAGCGATCTACTGTTGACTGGTTTTAGTACGATTTGACATTGTTTTGTGCGTATATTACGTACACACTAAACGGATTTTTGTACTAGATTTTTTTGTACATGCGAAGATGTTCGTGAGGAATGGTATTAGAGTTTCGTTACCGTGGTTTTTTTAATTGTTATATTCTTTTTGCGCCTCGAGTGGTGGGACATGTTGAATGAAGTGCGATTTTGCGCTGTAAACAAAGTTTTATAGAATTATTTATTTTTGTACATACTCTTTTAAAAAAATGACCAATGGAAAATGTGTTAAATTGCATATTTTCAATAATTCGAAAAACAATTTTCGAAGAAACTTTAATTAAATACTTTTACATGATGGACAATTGTATTGAATAAGCACGTATTTATTTTAGTATGAATGTAAACTCGAATTCTGCCTGTGAATGGACAATCAATTAATTATTTAACTCCGCGCTAAATCGATATTTACTCCGTACACTCGTTTAATAGAACAATCTATTTATATTCGGTCGTCGTCAGATCATTAGAGTACATTTAATGAATTTAAATGTATAGCTAATGCGTATTGTAAACTGTATACACACCATTATTAATGCCAATGATGCAACTTTTAGAAGTTACCAGGACCTTATCTAGTGCCATTAGATAGCTGTAGTACTATGCGGTACTAAGAGTACTGTAACTTTGTATCAGCTTGTGACTGACCGAGATCTGTAGCCTATTAGTAAGATTGTTTCAACAAAGGTACTAAATCGTTTAGGTACTACTCTAAGTAAGTAAGTACTTTCGTTGAAGCAATCAAAAGTCAGCATTGTGATAAGAAAAATCAAAATTTTAGTCAGTAGTTTTTAGATTTTATATTTAAATTTTTTATGTAATTATTGTATATAAAATGTATTTATTAAAAAAGCATATACGAAGTCAATTTTGAATTGTTTTATTTGCACCTTTTTAGCAGATTCCTTTTTGTAAAAGTCCTGTTGACAATTCGTTGTGGTTATGCAACACTTTTTACGAAAACTTTTTGAAGCGCCATCTATTGGTTCAAATATTAAACACATTTTTTTAATTACAGTTTTCTGTAATTCCATTGTATATCTAATTCACAGGAGTCAATTTTTCTTTAGGATTATTTATTTATTTGGGCACATATTTAATTCCCATCCAAAATTAATCAACCATTTAATTTTTATACACATTATACTTGAAAAAGATATTTGAAAAATTTTCCTCTAAAACATTTTATTCAATCGAATCTCGAAAATATTTGCGATTATCCGCCGTCATTGAAGCAATAACAACGCGTGGAATTCCTTTTGCAGTTCGGCGCTGGCGGAAAGGTCGAAGGCGCTCGCCGGGCGCATCGGAAAATCCCGCGAAAATCCCGTGAAAACCCGCTTTTCACGTACGCGGATTATCGGTAAACGTGTCCGAACCGAGCGAATTCAATAACTGGCCGAAGGAAAACGGCTCCGGATGTCTTTTGCCCGCAAAAGAGAGACGTGAATAATGGATGGTTTTCCAAGGTACATACGAGAGCCAGGTAAATGAGACAGAACGGGAAAACGGGAAAGCCGAATTTTATTTTCCGCTCGGTTTTTTCGCCTCGTTCGTTTGCCAACGCCGCCGAAATGCGAGAATGGCGATTAAAAATATTTATACTCATTACCACCCCGGATAAAAGCGTGTAATTTTGGCCGGGACTATAAAGAAACGCGCGGCCCCGTTAAATTCGTACCTGAGCTGTACGAAAACGACCGCGATAATATCGACATTGCTCCATTCGAACTAAAAATGTCCGGCGATATTTCATTAATGAACAGAAAATGGTACACTTGGACAATGCCCAAAACGACTACTCGCATTACCGGCGCGATACATAATATATACAAATTCGAAACGGGGCGATTTGCGAATCGCAAACTAGCCGAAAATAATCGAAAACAGCAATTTGCATTCGCCCTTCGCGCGATCTAATCTCGCGAAAACTTCGGACGATTCGCGCGTATTAAAAAGGACCTTTTAGCGCGCGCCGCGGCGTTACCGCCTTGTTAATTTCGGGGAAAAAAGGCCCGCCGGGCGTCGCGATTTACATAAAGTTATTCCAGATATCTGGAGCACTTTCGCTCCCGCTTTGTCAGGCCTTATCGCGCTGTTTCCCGTTTTCCGCGAGACAGACATCTCGACTGCTCCGCGATCGAATCGTTCTCGCCACACAAACGGGAAAGTTGATGAAATTTCTAATCGTCCCGGTAAGGACACTTGCTCTACTTTTCTCTATAGTCTCTAGTCTATCGCGTCAATCGGGTATCGTTAGAAAGAATATCGCGAAATTATATAGATCGTTCGCGAGTCGCCCTGTATATACGCCGATAAACGCGAGTATTAGTATCGCTCGAACTCGACGAGAATTTTATTTGTATCGGAAAACGTAAAAATATCAATAGATTTCGATATGAGCCGTTTCATAAATTCATTTTCCCACCAAAGTCTGGACTTTATTTATAACCGACATTCTACTTGAGCTATTTCGAACGGGCGTTTTCGTAAAAGTGAATCGAATCCCGGCAGTTTTGTACGCGAACAATTCGACACATCCGTTCCGAAACCTCTAGATGATTCGATAGTTATCAGTTTTCTAATCACTGTAGCAATCTAATTACATCGGCTTGTTCGAGTGATAGTGAAAAGTTCCAAGTTCGAGTATAACAAACAGTGAATTTATACAACAAAATCGCGTTGTTCTACGATTATTTCCATGGGTGAGAATTCTTTTGTATTATATTATTCTATCGAAAAAGATAATCGCACGCCGGCGCTACATTATCGGGGATAAAATGCGCCGAACATTATTTCCAATGAAAACCTCCGAACGGCCGAAGATATAAAACCGAATCTCTCTATAGGAAATGCATTCAAAGCAGTTGTCTGAAGTAATAAAAATGCAATTCTAATCTTTTTAGCTTTGCACCAGAGTTTTATACATTTCGCCATAAATTCGCAATACGGATTTCGCGATGTAAAACTACCCGATATACCGCCGCCGGTGCTTTGTCGCTTCCTATAAGATTAGAGTAAATGCGATACAACAAACGAAAAAATAGCCGCTCTAAAAGTGGCTATAGAGAAAGGTATCGATGGTGATTTTTACGAGCCGAAAATCTTTTATACTCGCCGAGGTTTAAATAGTTGCAATTTGCCTCTAAAAAAGGTCGAAAATTGCTCAACAGCTGCTCTAAATATGGCCAAAAATTACGAATCAGGACAGATGAAACGAATCTACTCTGATTCTATTCTGAATCTACTCTACCCTGAATCTACCCTTTTGAATCTACTCTGAATCTATTCTAACTCTACTCTGAATCTACTCTGAATCTTCTCCACTATGAATCTACTCTGAGTCTATTCTACTCTGAATCCACTCCACACTTTGAATCTACTCTCAATCTATTCTGAATCTACTCTGATGCTCTGAATCTACTCTGAGTCAACTAATTTTGTACTATCACATCTACCACCCAAATGTTCAATATTAATAAACTTCCCAGTAATAATCCCGTTTCGCAAACGATATTACAGTGTTTACCTACACAAAGGAACCTCTTAGTTCGTGTAATAAACTAAATTTTATTATGCGAAATTCGATCGACTTATTTGTAACGCCATTAAAGCACACCATCCGGGCTTCGGCTCGAATCTTAGGTAATCTCTGGGAAAGAGAAGAGGTGTTAAGGCGCTCTCTTCAGACGTCGAGCGCAAGGCAATAATAATTCCTATTCAAATTCGATTTATTAATTCAATGCGATCCGCCCGCCTTAACGACGGGCTCCTTCGTAACGAATTCAACGGAATTTAGCGTGTACGTGCCGAACGGGAAAAGATTTCCGCGATTTTCCTGCGAAAGTCGTAACAGTCGGATGGTTGTTTTGTATGTTTTGTGCGCGTTCGACGGATTGGAAATATTAAATATTCCACCGGAACGGCGAGTCGTTCGTATAAGTACCAATATACCTCGATTCGCGCGTAGTTTATTATAAAGTATTTTAACGGAAGAGTCGGTCGTTGGCGGGGGTTAATTAAGGGGCAACAGTCGGGGGGGTTCGTTCGTGCATTTCGCTCACGTTTTATTGCAATCGCGATGAGTCGTCCGAAAGCGTCTTTAGGAAGCACTCCGAAAGTGATTATGTCGCAATTTTGTTGTCGAGGAAGCCAAAAGTCTGCCGGTATGGAGGCGGAATGTTCCGAGGAATTTGCATTTTTATCTACTTAGGATAGATAACATAGTTTGCATTCCTCGGAATCGGGGTTAGTCAGTGTCTTACCTATCACAAAATGGGCTATTTTACTAATAACTTGAATCAATATATCCTATTCAACGCTCTCCTAATAAATGAGTTATTTTTAACACAAATTTAATTACACTTAAGCAATAAATTTAATCGTTAGTAAGTTGTAAATCGAAGTAGTCGAGTCCACCCCTGCGTTCAACCCTTCCGGCTTTGGCCTAATATAAAATGTATGCATTTTGAATTTTAAATTCCCCCGACCTCGTTTCGATCGTGTGGGATAGCTGGAAACTTTTGTTTGTCTCGCGAAGATACCATAGATGGAATATTAAATTTTTCATTCCATCGGAATCGCCGGATCTCCCTACGGCGTTCCGCGCGGCGCAAAAATCGAAATTCCCGGGCCTCTCGCGCTAATTCGCCCTCATTAAAACCGGCCCCCGATTCGCGATGCACGTGGAATTCTCCCCCGGTGCACGCGACCCGCGGAAAAATCCCGTCTATTGTCGCCGAAGTGCCGAGATGAAGTTTCATTTTCGCGTTCGCCGATTTAAAACAGGTCATAAAGCAGCATTTCCTCCAACATTCGCCCGTTATTGTCGCCGTTTACGCGACACAACCTTGAAGCCTAACAGAGGCTGCTTCGTTATCGAGCTTATTTTAGGTATACCCGCAAGGTATAATGGCAGCGAGTGACGTCACTATCAATCTATTCAATCGCAGTACTCTATGGATGTAGCGACGTCACTGGCTGGATATAGGTGCATGGGCGGCTATTTATAGAAGAAAATGATAATAGAGTAGCATGTTCCGGCGCGTTTAGGCGTCGGGACGGCTTTAATTAGGTTTGTTTAGGTCCCGCTATTATTTAACCATATATCCGACCGCGAGTAGAGGAGCGCCATTTCGCGTCGCGTCGGTGAATCGACGAAACGTTGTTTAATTTGTTTATCGTCTTCAAAGCTCGCCCCCTTGTCTAAACAGACGGAAACGATTGCCGAAATTAACGTGCCGTATTTGTTTGCATAGACGAAGGAAAAGTAGGCGCTGACAATGCGAAGGGCGCATGTCGATTAATGTAGGAGAATGAGGAACTTTGTTTTGTTTGTTTTGTCGCCGAATTAACTTTTGTTTGATAGTCTATCGCGAGTAAATACGTACAATAAATAAATAGACGAAAGATCGTCGTGAAATTACTCACCCGTAAAGTGCAGCACTCGAATGTATCTGTTTTTCGATTATGACGTTTGACAGTTTGATGGAAAAGGGACATGTAAATTAATGCGAGGCTAACTTCATTCCGAAGGAAAGAGATACGTTTTTTTTCTTCTGACGCGACATTTTTGACACCTGTCAATTATGTTGAGATAAAAATATTTTTTCTACCTTTCGGTTCTTTCGTAATTTACTTTACAGCGAAGTAACATCTGTTGGCGTTCATCACGTTTAGAATCTCATCGATTTTATTGTTTGATTATTGTCTATGTACGTACCCGCTGTGTTCCATGGCTATCCCGATTCGTCCAGGAATCCCGATGATTGAACTCGAGAGAAGTCGCTTAAATTTCATCGAAATTAAGTTTGTTTATGACAAATCGCAGGAGGTCGTACAAATTAAACATTTGCCGCCTACTGTACGACATAATGAAGTTACCGGAACGTTTTCCTAAATATTTGGAACAGTTAAATTTCGAACATGACGGGCATTTCAAACAATCGCGGCGAAATCGACAAAAAAACTAAGTATTTTGTTTAATAATCTCATTAGATTGTTGTGATGTGGGATCACGTAAGCGATGATCGATAATTTCAAATAATATTTTAACAGCTCGAGCTGCTATTGGTTGGTAATACACTTGATTGAAAATCGAGCAATGTGATTGGTTAGATTTTGTGACGTCACTGCTATCAACTGTGGCCTTTAGGTCTCTTACTATTATCATTATACAGAGAGGTGCAACAAAGACAACTTCCTCAAATGACGTAAACTATCACCGCTAGAATTTAGTGCGCGATAAGTTCGAGAACACCCTGTAGAATTAGCTAGAATGGGTGTAATCCAGCAGGTCTATTTTGTTTTCCATCAGGTGATACTATTACGAAACCCAATTTAACTTTACAATTGCAATTTTACACGCCATTATCGAATTTATGAATTATATTTTTAACCGATCCGAAATATCCACAATCGCGGAATTATGGCCGATTTTACGGCGACGAATCAGTTTCGTACACGAAATTTTATCGTCGCGCAAATTAATTGTGTGGGCTCCGCCGAAAAATCCCCGGATTTCATAACTGGAAACTCGGCTACAAGGAAGCGAGCTATTTATATTGTTCCTGTTTCGACAAAATTGAAAAAAAAAAACCAACATAATATCCGCCAACAGCCCGAAATATTATGCTATTTCGAAAAAAAAAATCGAACGTTTCTATTACATATCTTTATTCCTCCCTCATACAATCACCCTACACCAAAAACCCCGTCCGCATGGGGATCTCATCGTACACCAGCTCGACGGTACCGCCCTCCTCCGAGCTGGACGACGAACTCTCGGAGTAATCCTCCATCGAGGCCTCGTTCGGCGCATCCGCCGGCTCCTCCGACGACGAGCTCGACATCGAGGCCTCCTCCGGCGGCGCTCCGCACTCGCCCGTCCGCACCATCTCCACGCGCAGGCCGAGCCTCCGGGCGCACCGCAGCTCGCACTCGTTGCCGTAGGTGAGCCCGTCGCTGCCGCACACCGGCCGCTCTACCGCCGGGCAGCTGCACCTCTTGCGCGACTTCTTCGGCTTCCTGGGGCGCCACTCCTCCACCGGCAGCCGCTCGGCGGGCGGGAACAGCATCGGCAGCACGCCCAGCATGCCGGGGAGAGGGCCCTGGGGGAACTGGGTGATGGGTAGAGGCGCTGAAGGCGGTATAACGTTCGATTCTATGAGGGATTCGAGGATGCGGGACGGGATGAATAGGATTTCGGTGTCGTAATGGCTGGGCGATGGTTCTTCTGGGATCGGTGGGTTTGGAAATGGCGCAGGTTTGGCCGGTTCGCGCTGAAATCGTTTGAATGAGGAATGAGGGAGAGTTTGAGTGCGATAAATTTAGCTTACGTGGTGGTGTCTGGCGTGAGAAGTCGTCCAGAGGGCACAGAACGCGGCGATTACAAGTATTTCCCCGCGCATTGTTGAGTGTGGAATATTGAAAAGTTCGGAAAAACTCGATTAACTATTTATATCTCTCTATGAATTAAAGTTAATTTAATTTTAATGGGAATTCAATCGGATTTGCTCGCTATACAGTGCAGTGCATATCGTAAATTATCAAGAGTTATATTCTTCTATAAATATTATTCTTATGATGAGCTTCTTTCTAACATTCTTTTAAGTGGTTTTGTTGATTTAAATAACGTTTGATTTGACAAGATATTTTCGTTAGGATGCGCTTTACAAAAACCAAAACTCTACGCTCGTTGAATTTTTATTCGATTTCATGCAATTAATGTAATCGCATTTATAATAACGTATTATACATTGCAACTGACCATATCGCAGAGAAACAAAGATTGACGATATTTTAAATGAACCAATTAAACCAATACACTATTAATATTGATATAATACTAACCTACTAAAAATTATTATTATCGGAAATTTCAATATTTTTTTTCAACACAACAAACGAGGTCGCATCGGACGGGTATTAAACAAGTACTAATAAAACATTAAATTAATATGTATGTACTTTAAACATAAATTAAACACAATAATAATCAATCCGGCTCATTTTATTAAAACAAAGGATTGTTCGGTACAAAGTTCATAAAATTATAATTCACAACGCCGTAATCCGCGTTCATTCCCATGCCCGTCTGCACGATCATTTCCATTTTATCGAGGCAGGCGTTCTGATCAACCAGCACAATTTCCGGATAATACATATTCACGCACTGCAGGAAGCAACCGTTCGGGTAGGTCCTTCCATCGGACCCGCAAACCGGCTCGTAGTAGGGCATGCAGGAGCAATCGAAATACTGAAACTGAAAGACCAATCATACATAACAATCGATGAAACAATTTAGAGCGATCGAAACGTACGATATTCTCCTCGTTAGTACCCATGTAGTCCCTGCAGAAGCCTCTCGCTTTCGCCTGCAAACCACCCGCTCCTCGCAGCTCCATCCTGCGACAATTCACGTAGCATTCGTTTAAGTATGTTACCCCATCGGTACCACAAACGGGATCCAGCATTCCGCTGCAACTGCAAGCCATTTCTCGCCCAAACTCGTGCTGGTGATCCATTAAACTCTCCTCTTCGGAGTAATCGTCCATCATCGATCCCTACAACACCACCAGAGGGTAATCCAATGAAGACTAGTTAGAAAGAAGAGGTTAAGAAAAGTACTGCAGGAACCTGATGGGTTGTGTTTGCATACCTTATGGGGTTCCCTGTGCTTGTGTTTTTTGTGTTTATTTTTGAAGGGGTCGTTGCAAGGTCCGTCTGATACTTTTTCGACGTTGTGGTAGCGCCTGTGGGAGCATTCTAGCGAGCAAATGTTGAGGTACGTGTGGGAATCGGAGCCGCAGACCGGCTGCACGATGTCCGAGCAGCTGCAGCTCGGTTTGCCGTTGATTTTTTTGAATAGGGACTTGATGAGGCCCTGAAAGGGAATGGTTTAGGAAACGGTAGGAGTAGTTCAAGTGGTACTTACATAGCATTGGATTCGTGAGATAAACGCGGCGAAAATGAACAAATGGTAGATGGTAAACCGCATAATTTCATAACGAAATCGCGGACTCTGTGCCGGCTGTGAGCGATGCTTTTTTCGAATTTTATCGCGTGAAATTTAATTTAAAAGTTAATCGAATCGCTCGCCAGTGAGGTACTCGGATACAGGTAGCTATAATTATTATTTGAAAAATCGAAAACGGAAAAATCCATCTACGCGCTCGTGAGAGGTTTCATTGAATTTTTCGACCGTGGAATTCGTTCAAAAGCTTCAATTATAAGTAAGCTTAATGTATCATTTAATTAATAAATTGCGAGGGAAATTTGCAGTACAGGAATTTATTCGCAATTTCGGAGTTTCCACCAACACGCTAGATACAAAAAAAATCGTCTACATTTCTTCTAAAAAATTTTATTTATAACAACAACCGGGCATTTGAAGTCTAGAACGTAAGGAAAATAAAAATCGCAGGTCATAATTTATTTACGTTGTACCGGCTCCAGTCGAGCTCGCAACTGTACATCGTTATATGCGGATAGTACTGGGTGATGCATTTCAAAATACAAACGTTGGGGTAAACTCTTCCGTCCGAAGCACAAACCGGCTCGAAACTGGTCTGGCAATAGCAATCGAAGTACCGCAACTGCAACAAAAATTAAACCACAATCGCGCAAGGTTTATTTAGAAACCTCTACTTACTATACTCTCCGTTGGGATCTCGTCTATTCTTTGACAAACGGTGTAACCTAGTAGGTACAACTGGGGGTTCTGCAGTTTGTTGCAATAGAGAAAACACGGATTCATGTACGTTTTACCGTCCGATCCGCAAACCGGCTGAAGAACGCTGAAGCAATTGCAGTAATTGTTGTTACCAGTCGCCGGTACCACTCCAGCCACCGCAGTAGGCGCAGTAGGTACCGTTGGCTCATTAGGTACCAACTAAAACAAAAATCGAGTCAAAAATCTACCACCATGTACCTACCATGCCCGATTCGCAGACGAACCAACACCATTCCTAAGGCAAACCAACAACCAATCCCCCCGAGAATATACTTACGAAAATTTCTTTTCTCAACACGTACTTACGCCCTGTTGAAGACCGCCCGGGAGGGGCGGCGGGAGCCGCTCGCAGGGCGCCTCCGCCACCGGCACCAGCCCGGGGTTCTTCTCCCGCGAGCACTCCAAGTAGCAGACGTTGAAGTAGGTGCGGCCGTTCGAGCCGCACACCGGCCGCTCCTCCTGCGGACACTCGCACCGGTTGGACCTCTGCAACAGCTTGTTCAAGTACTGCACGATGGGCAAATCGGGCAGGCGCTTAAAAACGATATACCGGCGTTGTCAATCCGCCAGAAGGGGCGTTTGTGGCGGAAATTGTCTTACCAACAGCGATGCGAGGAGATTGTCGGGCGAGCTCTGGAACATGCGTAAATTCGCGAATGATTTGGACGCGGAATGGTTAACAACTCACGTTCATCTCGTCGCAAGCGCCGCGAAACGCCAGCGTTAAATTCCGTCCCATGTTCCGTTCGCAGTTCAACGAGCACTCGTTGTCGTAGGTCTTTCCGTCAGATCCGCACGCCTGCTGGTGGTCTTCTGAGCAGGTGCAATTCGGCGAGAACAGCGTGATGACGAACGTCGGCGCCGCCGATGGGTCCAAATTGCTCCACTGAAACCGACCGAACCGACCGATTATTACAAGATACCATTCACGATTCTGTTTTTACTTGCTGATCCGGATTGTAGTTGTGGCTGACCAGCTCGCAGGCCATCTCCGCTAGCACATCGAGAGTGGCGTTGTAGTTGCGGAAGCACTCCAGGAAGCATCTGTTGGGGTACGTCCTGTAATCGGTGCCGCAAACCGGCTCCTGGCTCTTCGAGCAAATGCACGGGTTCGCTTCGTCCGATAATTTCGTCTAACCACATTAAAAATTACTCCAAACTCATTACAAATCTCATCATACAGAAAGATCAAAGGTACTGTTAGTAGATGAAACGAGAAGAACCTTGTGATGAGTATAATTTAGATGGTAGAGGAAGACCAACGGTGGTGTTGAGCACTAAAGTAGATGAAATGATGGTGGAATTAATTCGATTACTTTATCGTTCCAATTATTCTTCGATGAACTCTTGCAGAACTCGTAGTCGACTTCGATCAAAGCGCGGTTTTGGCTCTTCTGGCAGGCGAGCAGGCAGAGATTCGGGTAGATGGCGCCGTCGGATCCGCAAACCGGACTCACCTCGTCCGGGCAATCGCAGTCTCTGCTCCTCGTGATGTCGCCCTGCGAGAAATAAATATCAACAGATCCGGCGGAAGTAAGAATTCGTCTTAGAAAATTACACTTTCCTCCGAGCTCTGCGAGCAGTACGACTTGCTGACGGGCTTCAATTTGGGCGATTTCTTCTGGTAGCAGCGCAGGAAGCACATGTTGGTGTAGAACTTCCCGTCGGACGCGCAGACCGGCTGCGATATCTTCGGACAATCGCAGTTCAGGTCGTCGTTGGTCAACGGTATGTCCGAATCTTCCATCGAAGTCCACGAGTCGACCAGCTTCGATTCTTCCTTCTCGTCGGGATCGTACTGAACAACATCATCCGTATCTAACTCCTGGACGGATTTATTCAACACTAACTCACGTATTTTCCCGAGTGGGGGTTCTTATTGCGGTCGTCTTTCTCGTCGTCGTAAATGGAGAGGTAGTTGAATTTAGGACACGCTTTGTGGGATACCAACTCGAGCCTCGGGTACTTCTTGCGCATGCATTCGAACTCGCATTCGTTGCGATAGTCTTTACCGTCCGAGCCGCAGACGATGTCCTCCTCGTCCGGACACAGGCACTCGTCGGGATGTTTCGCCTAAAAAATTCGAAATTACCATCGAAGAAGAGGAAGAAGAGAGTGGTACTGACCTCGGACGGGGTGCAAGCGCCCTCGTGGACCATCACCAAGTTCGTTTTGACCTGCTGGAAGCACTCCAAGAAGCAGATGTTGTCGTAGGTGGTGCCGTCGGAGCCGCAGACTTTGCCCACCACGTTCGGACAGAAGCAGTTGTACTTCGCGTTGAGATTGACCAGCAGGCTTTGCAGCGTCTTGAAACATTGCAAACGAATTCGATTAGGCTACGCCGGAGCTCCGCCGGGCGGACACCAACCTGCGCGTCCTGGGGCGCCACCGGCGCCTCACCGGCCAGAAGGAGGATGACTGAGAGTAGTTCGATAGTTTTCATGGTTGAATAATTCGAGAAAATAGACGGACAATCGCGAATGGCCCCCCTACGGGTTTTGCGTTTTTTTTTTAATTAAATCGCATTGTATTCGATTAGCGTTTAATTGGCGGGATTTTACGTTGGCGGGCGCTATCTGATGACATTCGAAAACGATTTGCAATCGAACTTTTTGCTGCCTAATTTTATGTTTTTGAACAATTTCCCGATATAGCTAACCGCCATTATGACCGATTCCCAATAATTTAGCTACTGCATTTTATCTTCTAAAATAAAAAACTGGGTTTTCCATACAAATTTTAGATTTTCATTACTCCTAAATTAAACATCTACTACTGGGATTGGTCGATTTTCAACCTCTTTAAAGAAAAAACTATCTCATGTTTTCGACTGCAGTTTTGGCATCTCCATTGTCGTTTCCATAAGGCATACAACTTCTGAAAGAGTTATACACTAACTGATTCACTAATCGATTAATTCAACAAACTAGAGGTCAAACAAAAACATCGAACACAAGTTAAACCAGTTTATTCCGTCCTAAACATCAACATACAGTTCGGGCTTCGACCTGGAGCACATCCCGCTCCTGCAGGCCACCTCCTGGATGCCAGTCACCACCTTCTTGGCGAGAGTCTGCAGCTGCAACACGAAAAACGTACACGGAACACGAATTCATCTACAACGAACCAGTTTATTGCCAATAGCTCGCTTATATAAAGTCGGTTACAAAGTAATCGAATGGCGCGGGAGCGGTTCAGGGGATGCGGTGGTCGCAGGGCGATGAGGAGACGAGCGCCCAGGCGGGGTCCTGCGATCGGGCGCACTCGAAGTAGCAGCGATTCGTGTAGGTGACGAGGTCGTTGCCTCTGGATCCGCAGGTGGGTCTGTCCAGTTTCGGGCAATCGCAAAGGTCCATCCAGAAGCGCGTTTGCATCAAGCTGTGCATGATCGAGCTGGATAGTCTAGAAAGCTGCAAGAATTCGAGCTGATGGGTGTTTCGTGGGTTTCTGTGGATAAGCTCGAGGAGTGGAGAAAATTGTAAACGGACTCGTTCGGAAAGCGATCCGTATAAAATATTGTACTTATAACAGATTGTTATGCGTTATAAAAATTAGGTAATTATTGTTTATTATATTTAACGAAGTAATAAATGTTTTTAATGAAGGTGCTTTAGTGCATCATCAACGTGAGCTACATGGTGCAGAATTTTACTTACAAGGCTGCTATCTTCGCACTGTAAAATCAACAAAAAATCATTACGAAATAATAACCACAATTCCAGTGCAATTTCTAACCTGGCATAATTCTCCAGTGAATAATAATACGACGAGAACAACTAATAATGATCGGGAATTCATAGCCGTTTCAATCCTCGGTAATAACAAGGGTTTTTTTTACCCGTTATCGGACTTTATATATAAAATGCTCCACCCGCGAGCCAATTTCAAATTAATTTAAATTTAACGAACCGAATCCGGATTACAAAATTAATTTCAACCGTATTAAATAATTCGCAACGCAACGAAAACAAATAGAACCGCATATACAAATTCACTTAACGATTATCGAAAATCCCAATACCGGAGTTTATGATAAAAACCAGCGCGTGTATACAAAATAAATTATCTCGAGAATAAATCATTGCCGGGGAAACGAACGACTTCCGACCACAAGAAAATTAACTCGAAAGATCCGTCGGACGTGTTTTGATTAAAATTTTCGATTTCTAATTTCAGATACGAATCCAGTTAGCTCCAGATCGGAGTCGTGATGGCCGTCCGGATGGAACAGCTGGCGAGACCTCCTCAGGCACAATGGAAAGGAAACGGTCCGTCCGGCGGCGCAGGAAAACCGCCAGGCGGTCGTGGTTGAAGCAATGCAAGGAATTCCTCCGGCAATTCATCGCCTTCCTCTTCAGCAACGTCGGCATCATCCTACTAGTGGTGAGCCAACGCGAACGCCGGTGAATTAGTAAGGAAAATTTAGCGTTATAGGCGGGTTACACGATCGCCGGTTCGTTCATCTTCATGACGATCGAAGGTAAGCACAAATTGAAGCTGAAGGAGGAGGTGCTCAACAACCGGACGATCTTCGCCGGGAAATTGTGGAACATCACCTACGAGTTGAACCGAAAGGTAGTATGGCGATATATTTTTCGTGATTCCTGCTAAAATTCGCGCGGTGCAAGGTGATGGGAAAGGAGCAGTTCAACGCCAGCATCGACGAGCTGCTGAGGCTCTACCAGAAGCTGGTGGTGAACTTCACCAGGAGGGGCTTCGACGGTACCGACGATCTGACGTCGTCGGCCCAATGGAGCTTCGCCGGCGCCTTCCTCTACTCCCTGACGGTCATAACGACTATAGGTGAGGCGTTGTTAAATGAATTTCGAGCTCTCCATCGCGCATTGTTCGCTCGACAAAAGGGTGGAAAAAAACGCGGGTTTCATACGCGACGATTTTCCTCCTTTTGCGGCCCTTCAAACAGACCTAGTTCGTCTGAATTCCGACGGAAAGCGGCGTTAATTATGCACTAGGTGGTTATTCAACGATTCAACCGCTCTTGGAGTGCGACTAGAAATATTTTATACGCGCCTGTTAACCAGCACAAAGGATTCTAGTTTTTTATTTATTACTCAACACTAAAACGCGCTAATGATTTCCATTATTTATTAAACTCACAACAAGTTATTCCTGGCGTAATCCTCTCGCTCGAAACCGTATACTTGATAGTAATAATCGTTTTCCTTCCCCGTAAACTTCGGACAGTAATTGTATATAAGAGATCGGCTCTCCAAGCTCCTATCGGGGAACCGGTGGTCGTTCTTCCGCGCCTCACTAACGAAGAAATCGGCGAAGTACTGGGACACCAGCACGCTGCGCAACGAGTGCGCGAACCCCTCGTCCGGCTTGAACTCGAAGTTGTTCTTCTCGGGGTGGAACTGCGTGCCGTAGAACGGGTACTCACGGTGCTCCATGGAGGAGATGAACTTCAGGCCGGCGGCGTCGGTGTTGGTGCTCAGCACGTGCCAGTCGGAGGCGATGCCGCGGCGGGCGAGGCCGCTCTCGGTGAGGCAGAAGTGATGGGAGTTGTAGGTGACGTTCTCGCCGGTGAGGACGTCGAGCAGTTCGAGCGGCAGGGGCGAGTACAGCCTGCTGTTTCGGTAATCTGGAGTTTCGCGGTACTAGTTAAGAATGCTCGGGTTGGGGTAGATGGTGGTTTGTTTACCTCCTTTGAAATCTAACGTGAAGGAACCGTGGGGTACTGAGCAGGTGACGACGGCGTCTGTTCCAGTTTGAGCGTACGGTAGTACTTCGAAGCCCAAGCAGGTGCCCCAAATGGGGTAATGTTCGTTCTTATCGTTAGCTTCTTTGGCTAGTTTGTAGAGAGTTCGGGCCGTTTCACCGTAACCTCCGGGTAGCGTGAAATTGGCGCTACCTCCAGGAAATAGTACCCTTCGAAAATATATCATTCTCACCTACTATTACATTATTATTACACAAATATAACTCACCCGTTGGTGTACTGTACGACCCTTTCGTAGTAATCAACGGTCTGGTTGATCCTACCAAGAAATCACTGTTAAACATATCAAAATTATTAGCAGGTTATTTACCATATGGGAAGTACTCTGGCTCCGGCGCTTTCCAGATACTTGACGTAGGAAGCCGCTATGACGGTGTCGTAGCCATAATCGTAGTCGGGTTGGCTCAAAATGCCTATAATAGGCGTCTCGTTTCCGATGACCAGCCCTAGAATAGGCAACACGTTAATTAGGAACTTGAACATTCTCGTCCGATGTCTACTTCGCCAGTTATTGATGCTCGACCGACAAAAAAAACATCTATTTATTATGAATCTCGAGTGGAGCGTGGAACTGATAAAACTAATCAGAAGCCAACAAACGAATTATGAATGCTGTGCGATCGTTCGACGATTAATGATTAATGAATTTTGCATTTCGAGTGGACGAAAAATGTTTTTTTTTTAAACAATAAATTTGGGATAATGTCGCGACATATTTTCTTCTAATACTCCACTCTATTTATTAAGATAACGTCACAAAGTGGATTATTACGCGAACAATACGTTTAAAATGATTTAAATGATGATTTAAAATGATTTAAAACTGTCCTGAATTATATAGATTGATCCAGATCGAATCAGAATTGTTGAGAATCATTTAGATTTGTCCAGAATGATTTGGTACTGGTCTAGAATGATTTAAAACTGTCCTGAATCATATAGACTGCTTCAGATCGAATCAGAATTGTTGAGAATCATTTAGATCTGACCAGAATGATTTGGTACTGTCTAGAATAATTTAAAACTGTCCAGAATCATTTAGATTGCTTCCGGACGAATCAGAACTGTCTAAAACAATTTAGAACTGTCCAGAATCTTTTAGACTCTGAAAGAATTTAATGCAGCTAGCGTGCATATAAAACCGGGGGGCATATCAGCAAATTCCGGTTCGGAATTTCCCGTCCCGTAGGCAGCCGGTTTTATTTCGGCGGTTTTATTTTTCGTTTTCCACGTCTGTGGGGAGCGCAAACACGGCGAGACCGCAAATAAATTGCAGGAAAACCTGGAAAAATATTGAAATAAAGACACACAATTCCGGGCGATGCGTTTTATCGGCGCACCTTCGATTCGAACGCGTATTTCGGCCGCATTTATTTCGATATACGACGAGAAAAATCGCCATTTCAAAAACCAACAAATGACTTGCAATCGAAATAAACCGGTACTGTTATCGTTCAATCGTCGAGCGATTACTTTAATTACGAAAGGAAACAATTAAAAAACCCCGCGAATCCCGTCGAACAATCATCGACAGGACCGGGGGGAAAAAAAATACCCCGAAATCGGGAACCATCGCGGGCCTAAACTGCGTGATAAACGATGCGGGGCCGTTAATAAATTTTAATTACAACAAAGCAGGAGAGCCGGTGACAAAAATGGAACATGACGAGGGTCGAAAAGTCGGCGCCTCTCATAAATCACACAACATCACCAAGATGTATATAGTGCATACAATATCGCTTAGAAACAAGCCCGCGACGGCCGCGGAAAAGTAGCGAGAAAACCCGAAAAAGCGGTTATAGCGTTAGTCGCTAATTGATAGACGATAAAGCTCGGGAATATCGCGACGTTATTTACCGTCGAACATAATTCGCACCCGCGTCGAAACAATACCGCACGAGGGCCCCTCGCGTAAAGTTTTAATGTAGTTGGCGAATTCGAAAATGACGGAGGGAATGTTGCTCAATTTGGCGTTGTAATGTAGGAGGTGCGGTCGCGGAAGTTGCCTAACTCCGGCGTTTCTCCGAAGGCGTTAAAATTCATGTACGAATCGCCTTTAGGAAGCTCTTTTTGGATGCGATAGCGTCGATAAAAAGCCTGTTGCGTTATTTGGGCCGTATATAAATCGGATAACTAATCACCACTTCGACACCTTCGACACGCCGTACGGGCGATAGCGTCGAAAAATAACGAGCTATATGCCTAGATTTCCGATAAATATTTATAAATGCGCCGCAAGATGGATGGATTTCCCGCAATTTCCCGGGCGAACTGGTCGCCTTGTCGCGCTGATTTACGGGGCACGGGTCAATTAGATAAATCATACAGAGAAGCTTTTCACTTCGGGTTTTTTTAAAATCCGCGAACTAGCCGGATTTTCCCCGTGTAGTTAGGCCGGTTTCTTTCATTTATATTTCGCCCGGTTTTCGATATTATGCGCGAATGTAAAAGCGCACCTTTTCGCCACATATTACATTCGCCGGGAAATCGCCTTTTTTCCCTCTTTTCACGCGTCTGTCGCCCCGGCGGGTACTCTTTTATTTGACGACTAATAGGTTTTTCCGGCTGACGGGCCCCGGCAAAGCCAATTATCTCAAAAATAATATGAATGTGGCAGAGGAAGAGAACGAACGGCGCGCGGAAAAGGGATTTGAGAAAAAAAAAACGGGTTTTTCGCGGATGTATCCGCTGTTATTAATCCTCTCGCAGGCTTCGCGAGCTTTTCCGAACGCCGATAACTTCAGGATGTGAGTATTTGGATGATTTTAAGACGAAAAGTTTATATCAATGTATGTCCTAAACTTCTTAGTTTTTGAGTTACAGGATGTAAGAGTTTTAGAAAAAAAATAACTTTTTTATCATAATTTTCTTATTACTCCAGATATTTTTATGAAATTTCGGACGTGGATGTCACTGGTTATAGTAGAAAATTAATTTCTATCCCCAAAAAAAAGTGTTTTCATGCATGGTGGGCGCCTACCAAATTTCAACAAAATATCAAAAGCAGTCTCAAATGAAGTTGGGAAAAAATTGTTTTGGTTTTTATTTTTTTACGCGAAAATGGTGCGTCGTACGAAAGTAAGTCTTCTGATCGAATTTGCTGCAAAATAAATGAGGATTTTAAAAATAATTTTGGTTTTTAGAAAAAACAGTGGCGTATAATTTTTTTTTAAACATATTCAATTCAAACCCCATATGGACGTCACTGGTGAATATTTTAAAAAATCTTACGCCTCAAAAAATGCTCCTTAATAATGAAAAAATGTATACAAAATTTCATAAAAATATCTGGTGGAATAAGAAAATTATAATAGAAAAGTTATTTTTTTCTAAAACTATAACACCCTGTAGCTCGAAAACTAAGAGGTTTAGGACATACATTTATATAAACTTTTCTTCTTAAAATCATCCAAATATTCCCATTCTGAAGTATCGGCATTCTGTATACTGGCTTATAATTTATCCTGATGCCGAACGGACTATAAATTGTCTAAGTAATTCCCACGCACCGGTTAGAGATGTAATTTTTATCAAACGGTTCGCCGACAAAGCGTCGCGAATGTTGAACGTATCCTCTAACTTCGTTAACAGCGGCCCGACCCCCCCGAAAAACGAGCATAAAAGAACATGTCTCCGGCAATAAAATATGAATTGCCGCCTAAGTGCACTTAAAACTTAAAATAATGCGATTAACTCGGCGTTTTGCGGATCGATATTTCCAAGTCGCCGGCGCGCGGGGGTCGAAAAAAATCCTGGAAATTAAATTCATTCCCCGACGGACCCCGTTCTGTATCCATCCCAGCGACTACATCGAAGGCTCGTCCGATGGAAATTAGAATCGACTTTTACACCGCTAGTTTTCCCGATCGACAAAGTCGCTAATTTATCGAGGCGGCCATCAATCCCTTTCTTTCGCTTAGAGCTCGCTAAAGGGGAAGAGATAAGGCCCTCATAAGGTAATTGATAGGCGGCGGTGGATAATGTCGAAAAATGCGGATCGTTAAAAGTTCCTCTGCATGCAAACTCGGTTACTTTATCACGCGAAGGGCCCTCTTGCAGAAATGCACGGCGAAATTGCGGTTATTCGTCCAAAAGTAAGACGCATGAACTCTTCAGATTCTAAAACTCGCTTTAACAATTTTGCTTGCTCGATTTTTGGTGAATTTTTTCACATATTAACTATACTCCGTTCGCTAGCAGGAGGTACTCAACATTAGGTTTTATTAACACCATTATAGCTACTAATAAAACTATTCTTATAGCCACTCTTATAACTACTCTTATATGTACTGTTATAGCTACTTGCAGGCTTCTATTACCTGTAACTACTGTAGCTATAATCTACTAAAGAAGCTACTATTACTATACTGTGGTATCTACTATTGTAGCTACTATTAATAAAAAAAAGGACTCTTTTTCCGCCCTGTATATATCGGTTGTAGCGTTATGGTTTTCGAAACGAAATGGTTTCGTAACTTTCGACCGAAAACTCCCGAAACTCGATCTAATTCGTTCGTCAATACAATTTATGGAGCGTGTAGCGCTCAAATTTGATTCCACCCCGCCAGTCCATAAAACGCGAGTAGTTTCATTTACCGAGAGTTTCTAATAAAATTACAACATTAACCGGGACATTCCGGCGACCGGGGGGTAGAAGGAGATATACAGGGTGTCCCAAAATTCACGCCCGTCCTTTCAGAATATGATTCAGCGGGCTAAAACCAATTAAATTTTAAGAATAAAATTTTTTCGTTTTGTCATTGATAACCGAGTTATTGATAAAAAACAAAAAATTTTAAATTCAACTAAAACTTTAATTAAAACAAAGTAACAAAGAAACATTATTAAACATAAGAACATAAAAAACATAAAAACGAATAATTTATAAAAGGTGTTCAAACAAATCGCCGCCTACTTCAATGCAAACATTCGCACGATTTATAATTGAATCACGAACCCTCTGTAGCATGTTCTCGTCTACAAATGTCACAGGACAAAACGAAAAAAAATTTTACTCTTAAAATTTAATTTGTTTTAGCCCACTGAATCATATTCTGAAAGGACGGGCGTGAATTTTGGGACACCCTGTATAGAGCGCTCGATTACATGTACAAATACCGTTGGTATAACTCGTGACACTCGTGACACTCGTGACACATTAAAAAAAAAAAATCCCACGTAGGTTAGTTTCGAATTCGAACGTCGCGCCGAAATGAAGTACGTGCTGGGAATCGACCTGGGCACCACGTCGGTGAAGGTATCGGTGGTGGACGCCGACACCAAGCGGCTGGTGGAGCACCAAGCGAAGGCCACCAACAGCGAGGCGCCGAGCTCGGCGCCCGGCGCCCGCGAGCAGCACGTCCCGACCATCATATCGGCGCTGAACATCTGCCTGTCGAAGCTCGACGCCGACGCGCGCCGCCGCGTCGCCGAAATCGGCGTCTGCGGCCAGATGCACGGCGTCGTCTTCTGGACGGCCGACGAGTCGCGCCGCCCGTGGCAGTTCCAAGGGAAGACCTATCGCATCGACGACGGCGCCGTGTCGAATTTGCACACGTGGCAGGACGGCAGGTGCTCGCCGAGGTTCCTGGCGCTGCTGCCCAAGCCCGACTCGCACCTGGGCGTCTCCGCGGGCTTCGGCGTGCCGACGATGTTCTGGTTGCTGAAGAACTCGCCGGGTTTCTTCAAGAAGTACACCAAGTGCGGGCCGATTTCGAGCTTCGTGGTGGCCATGCTGACGGATCAGGTCCACCCGTACACCTCCGAACAGAACGCCGCTAGTTGGGGTTACTTCAACTGCCGCACGTCCGCTTGGAACTTGAAGTTGCTGGAGAAGTACGGTTTGCCCGTTGATATGCTGCCTAAAGTCAAACCGGCCGGCGAAATCGTGGGCGTACTCAAAGAAAGATGGCACGGTTTACCCGATGGCATTCCCATCGGAGTCGATATGGGCGATTTACAATGCTCGGTTCTATCCACGCTCACATCGGACACCGACGCTGTACTGAACATCTCCACGTCGGCCCAGATGGCTTTCGTCGCGAAGAAATACATCCCGCCCGCCGGAGTGCCCGTAGTCAACCCGATCTCCTACTGGCCGTTCTTCCGCAACCAATTCGTCGCCGTGGCGGCCTCCCTCAACGGCGGCAACGTCCTGGCGATGTTCGTGGACACGCTGAAGGGCTGGCTGGCCGACGTCGGCGAGCCAATCGACGACGACGCCGTCTGGACGCGACTCATCGCCGTCGCCAAAACCGACAACACCAAACCGGAGCTCGAGATCAAGCCCACCTGCCTGGGCGAGAGGTTCGCCCCCAATCTGCTCGGCTCCGTGCGGAACATCACCGCGGACAACGTCGAGCTGGGGCACGTGTTCCGAGCGCTGTGCAAGGGGCTCGTCGCGAATCTGCACTCCATGATGCCCGCTCGAGTACTGATAGAAGCCAATGTGGATAGGATAGTGGGCAACGGCGGCGGGTTGTTCAGAAACGAGGTGCTGCAGGAGGAGGTTGAGAAAATCTACCAGCTGCCTCTGGTGTTCGAGCAAGAAGGAGACGCCGCTAGAGGCGCCGCCTTGGCGATGATCGATTTCGAACGGAACAGCTGCTGCTCCAACTGGCCTCAATGAGATACTAATGTAACAAATATAACTTGGGCGATGATTACGAGCGATGAGTTTTTTTTTTATTGATGTGTACATTAGGGATGCATTTTGCAGGGTACGGTAACATTTACCCGAGGACACCCGAAGGGAAAATCGCCACCATCGTGTACGCCATCATCGGCATGCCGCTGTTCCTGCTGTACCTGTCCAACATCGGGGACATAATGGCGCGCTCGTTCAAGTGGATCTACGCCAAGTGCTGCTTGTGCAGGTGCTGCCCGGGGGTGGCGAAGCGGCGGGCGCTGCGGAAGATCCGCAGGGAGAAACGCATGCAGATGGACTACGATAGCGATGTCACCGGCAGCGATGTTACCGAAGTAAGTAATCGAAACGTTTGTTTGTTAGAGTGTGATACGAACGGCTGGCGTATGGTCGAACGAATAGGGCAAAAAAAACTGGTGAAATTCGCGCGCGAATCGTCAAAAACATGTCGATACGGCGATCAATCAGTTGTGCATTGCACATAAACAAAGCTACCGATTGCGCTCTGTGCGAGTTTCGCCTATTTTTTTTTTGTGTATTTCCTGCGACCGGTTTGCAATCGGGCGCGATTCAAAATGGACCGAATCAAGCACACGTTTTGTATGAATCTCTTTACTAAATTCTCTTCGTAATTCCATTACACTGAGGTGTGTCTTGCTGGTGTATTATTCAGTGCAACTCTTCAACACTCTCCGGTTTCATTTAATAGTCTTCAAGAACACACATCTTGAATCGCATTTTAGATCCTTACTGACTGCATTTGCATCTGATTCCGTCTCTCGTCGGAGGTCCATCTGGCGAGTTTATTCGACTATGTTTGGAGCAAATTGAGCGTCCGCACGCACGGAAACTCCGGCTCAGAACTTGACAAACGACTGCGAATTCGCGCCATTTATCATTACGAATTTTTTTCGCTCTTTGTTTGCGCGACGGATCCGCTACAGAGATCGGACTAATTGATATTAATGCATAAGCGGATGCGCGCGATCCGAAAATCAATCGGCGTCTAGGCGGAAATTCGGTTAATTAATTAATAGATGTGCAACAGCAAGAATTCCATCAGTCATTGTAAAAAATATTTTTGCGCTCTCGATCGGAATCGATTATCAAACTTTTCGAATATAATGTAACATATTTACACTTATTATATGCATCGAAATATACTGCTCTACAAAAGTTAAGAAAGTTTGCAAATTTTGCGATTATTTTAAAAGTTACAGACTTTTTGATCACCAAATTTTCAAATTGCGAAATTAAATGTTTTCTCTCATATCCGAGTGGATTTTTTGCCCCTACCTCTACAATTCATGTTAAATTTGGCGATCAAAAAACCCGCAACTTTTAAAATAATCTCAATATTTGTTAACTTCCTTAACTTTTGTGGAGCAGTATATATTACTCTACACAAGTTAAGGAAGTTCACTAATATTGAGATTTAGTAATTTAAAAGTTGCAGGTTTTTTGATGGCCGAATTTAGTATGAGTTGTAGAAGTAGGGACAAAAAATCCACTCAGATATGAGAGAAAACATTTAATTTCGCATATATGATAATTTGGCGATCAAAAGGTTTGTAACTTTTAAAATAATCGCAAATTTGTGGAGCAGTAATTTATGAATATTATCATATGCAAGTGTATCATTTTATATTCAATAGAACGTCGGCCGTTATTCGAGTCCAAACGAACCGTCCGTTGTTTGTCGGGCGATGCAATTCGATGATAATAAACGCCGTAAAGCGATAATAACACGTGAGAAAGTAGTCGAAAAACGCAATAAAACCGCCGTCGACGTTTACAACCCCATCGGCGCGGCTCCGGCGGTGATAAATGAGGATTTTACCGTTCCGGTCCGCCGTATAAAATGAGCGTCGCCGGACGATTTGTCGACTTTTATAATGCACTCGAAAATTGCGGGCTCGCGCTTAATGAATTCATTAACTCTGCTCGCTTTAATCACCGGTTATTTATAACGCGAAGAAACGCGTACGTTATACTCAAGAGATATGGATAAATTTCACTAGAATCTCTGTGGTGTAAAACTCAATTTTGCGCGACTTGTTGTGGATATCGAGCGCTTCCTCTGGAACTCTACATTATCCAGGCGGTGGGAAAAAAGGGTTTATGAAACATTAGGATACATTTTAATCGAATGGCGTTTGTTGTCTGGCGTCGTAAACTCGTGCTTCAGGTGAGGACGCCGCTCTGATTTTACGATCGCCCTCGCTGAATTTCCCATCTTGTTTAATGTCGAGCCTTATTAAAATCGATGCGAGAGGTTTATGCGACACTCCGTTAAACGAAAATTACTCGCGAATTTAGATAGATTGCGGTTAATATGTGCGCACTTTGAAGAGTGCATGATAATTCCATTTTTCTCTGAATGTTTCAAAGTAAATTCCTCTCTCGTTTAACGAATGTTTACGAATGAAATTATTAGAAAATCTCGCGTCGAGTTTGCCGGTATTCCATCCGTTCGGTTCGATTTTTATTCATAAAAACGCCGTTCGCGAGATAAAGCATTAGCGAGTCTTTTTTTTTTGTTCGTCCATTCGTAGGTATAGGAAGAGGGAAAGAAAAAGAGGAGAGAAAAAAAAAACCGGGCAAATATTGACGGTTGAGTCGGAAACGTTGAAACTTGTGCACAAACCCTATTTACATCCGAAGGAGGCAACATAATATTACAGATTAAAAAAGAAACCCGGAGCGCAAAGGAGCCAGGCGAAATTAAAAGAGTTTTTCGAATTGCTTATTTTTTATTCAATAGATACACAAAAGTCCGCCGTTAATCGAGTTGCGCGCGTTCGGGGAAAAAAAAAGGAAAATGCATTCGAGACTTTTCGAACAATTCCTCCATATACAGTGTGTTAATTTTTTCGACTGCCAATTTTTTAGACTCAGTCTTCCCCTACCTACTCCCTTCCACCCTTCTCTACCCCTCTCTACCTCTACATATCCCCTTCTAGCCTCATCTACCTCTACCTACGCTCTTCTAGCTTCCTCCACCCTACTCTACCAACCTCTTTTTAGCCTCTTCCACCCATCTCTACTACCTTCTACTCTTCCTTACCCCTACCTACCTCACTTCTACACGTCCTCTACCACTCTCACACTCTACAACCTTCATTTTGAACCAATTTTTTGCTTCAGGTGTCCATTTCCAATCCTCCACTAGGACCCAGACATTCCACCGTGAGCGAAGCCCTTACAGAGGAACTGGATACTGACGTGCAAAACGTACCAGTACCAGTTACAGTTTGCTTGGCGATTATGGTGGGGTAAGTACAACACCTTTACACTCGACGATCTCGATAACATTTAAGGGACGCTTCATTTAAAGGTACATATGCAGCGGAGCGTTGTTGTTCTGCAAATGGGAGGAACATTGGACGTTCATGGACGCCTCCTACTTCTGCTTCATATCGTTGAGCACGATCGGCTTCGGGGACCTGGTGCCTGGGGATAAAATCTACGGCAGAGGCAGGGATTTCTACGCGGAGGTGCTCGAGCTGAGCTTCGTGTTCTGCTCGATCTACCTGATGCTCGGCATGGCGTTGATAGCGATGTGTTTCAATCTGATGCAGGTGAGTTTCGTCGCTATCTCGGGAAAGTTTACCCGTAAAATTATACTCTAAGAGGTGCCTTCGGTTAACCGGCATCCAGTTAGGCTCGATTACCGATCTCGCGAGACGTTGAGAGCTGGTAAAAAATTGTTCGCAGGAAGAGGTGATCCACAAGATCCAAACGACCGTTCGCACCGTTAAATACATCCTGCGATGTAACAGATGACGATCCGGCCGCTGTCACAACAATCCATTTTTCGGTCGGGACCGCCCGCGGGGCCGGCGGGCGCCGGGAAAAAAGAGGTGCGTATTTACGGGGGCGGAGAGGGACGTTTTGAAATTTTTTTTTCCATCGGAAACGGGCGAAACAAAAGGGGATGTTGCTTTACTGGCGCTCCGAAATTTAACAGGGGTTAGTTTGGATTGTTGAATTTTGTTGTAGGTGGTTTGTGGAGGTTCCACGAAGGGTTGATGGAAGAATAAAGGGGTGTGTGAAGAAATATTGAAAGGAATCTCTGTGTTGATGGGTTTAATTGCGGATAATAGATGAAGGTGAGTACATGGGGGTGAGTTTATTTGTAATATGGTCAATTGTACACATACATTACTTATATTAACGTCGCTTTGATTGGATTCGAATGAAATACCCTATAATTTTACGATAAAAACGCGAAATTTATCCTCTCATCGAACGTAACAATTAAGTTTTTTTTTTAATTAAATCGTAACTTTTATGGCTCTTTGCGGCATCTAATTTACTCCCCTAATTAACTATAACGACGCCATAAAAACCCGAACGATAATGACTTAACACTCGCAATAAATTCCATATCGATACCTACGAGGAGGAGGCCTCGTAGGTATCGATTATTCAGCCACTTTTCGAGCGCGTCCTGTATAGGTGCATAAATCACCGGGACGCGATGTTACCGCAACATATTCCTACATGGAGACGACGCTGGATGCGTTTCGGTGTTAGTTTCGAACTAATGAAATATCAAAACAGGCACATCAAACGCACATGCAGGACGCGACATGCCGAAATTACTGGTCGTTATTCCCCCGCCAACTAATCACTGTGATTTTCTGATTATCCCGGTTTTTTTTGACCGGTTGATAATTACAGGGAATCCGATTATCGCCGGCGGAATTAGATTCGACGATTAAACGTGTTTGTTTGGTGCAATTGTCGTTTATGAAAGAGATATTCCGACTTCGGGCCGTTTTCTTAGTGGACAAGTTGACACAACTAGTTTTGGAACGTTTGACGTTTGACATGACGATGATATCCGTATCGTCTAACAATAAATTGTAATTACAGTTCATCGTGATTAAAACGTTCTCTGTACTTTACGAAATAAAATACAATGCACTAGGTAATAATATATTCATTAAAAACAACATTCATAAATTACTCTGGTAGAAAAACAACACGGAACACGAAATCTTCCATTTGAAACTGTCTGCTGTCATTAATAAAACTATTCGTCGCAGACACCGTCGAAAAGTGTAAAAGTGAGTCGAAAAGTGTAACGTCGAGTGAGACAACTGTAATTTCGGAACGATCGTGGATCAGTGGATCGTGGATCAACTATTAACCCAACTGGTTGTTTTTGAACGATTCGAGTAAAAAGTGGCAAGTAAAGTTTAAAGTAAAAAGTGCGTTTTGGAACGCCCCCCTGGCATTTCGTTATAACCAACTGTCAAAATTGACATTAATGACATTTCGTACGACACAATTTTAATAGAGGTGGGACCCGATTTTTTGGTGTAGAGGTGCAGTAACGACTGTTACAAAATAAGCGTTATTTCTCGAATATCCTCTATTAGATGATTATTTTGGTGCGGAGTTCCGGCGCGCCGGTTTCCTCCGGCCGAATGAAACGTAACAAGTAATCCGAACGGAATCCTGCGCCTGCCCGGCCCTTCTTCTCGCGCCCCCATACGCGCCCTCGCGGGCCGGCGGCGCCCTCAGTGCGACTCTGGCTCTGCGCGCTGCTGGCTCTCTTCGGGCGCGCTTTTCCGCTGGGTTTCCGGGAGTTTTTCCACCGCCGAGTATTTCCGCCGGCGACTCTTCGGAGTATTTTTTTTTAGTGCGAATTTTTAGTGTGTGCAATCGCCATTGGGAGTGTGGATTAGCGAGGATCGGGGTTCTTTGAAAGTAAGCTTTTTTTATGTACTATTTATATTCCATTTATTTCGTTAATAGGATATGTCTTTATTTATATCGGGAATCTTTTTGAATTGATCCGGTGTATACTCACAGCGTGATTACATGTCGAAAACACGCGGAGTTTCCAAGGACTACAATTATGTAACGGGATGTTATTTTGCGTGATTAACGGGATTTGTTCGCCCAATTGTTTGGTATTTTTATTTTATTTTCGGGAACCTAATGCTCTCGGAATTTATGGCAAAGAAAATTTTCTACTTGTTTGCGTTACGGGCGTAGGTTTTTTGACCTCCATTCGGCCGTCTGTTTGTCAAACGGCGAACCTTAATTAAGGAAAGAGTTTGTAAATACGCTCCGGAGCATGTTTTTCTCCATCAACCCGATGAGTATTGAAACTGAAAAAGCGCTATTCTTTAAAGAATTAACGACCAGGAATTTTCTCTTAGCGTCCCAATGAAACGTATTTAAAAAAAAACTACATATACAAAACTTTTTTAAGCTCCCCCTGTAATCCCTTAATAACTGGCTAGTTTCCTACTGAGTGCCAGACCACATTTTCCCGTTTTTACATATTAAACCCCGCCGTCGTTTCGGAGCCCTTCTTTTCTCCTTTCGCAAACGTCGCCGAGTCGAATCTCACCGCAAATACAAATCTCCCGCATCGCAGAGGCGTCGCGACGCTCTCGTTGCTGGTTTTCCCCGGGCGAAAATTGCCGTTTTTTCGATCCTCGGAATTCGGAATATCCGGCGGCAAAAGGCGCCAGATTTATCGGTCCCGAGGATTGAATTACTCCCGTTCGTTTCGTTCCTTTTTCCGGGCGAACGTTCACTTTATTAGAGGAGTGTTTTGTGTGTTGCGTTTATCCTCGAATAATATCTACGAGTCGCTCATACCGGCGCGCGGTTTTTATTTAATGCTCTTCGGGAGATCGCTCGTCTCCCCATATATAAATCTACATTTCGAGTAGCTAGTGACCCGTGTAACGGCCTCGAAGGAAAATGCAAATAGCCGCCGACGGATCGCCCGGGGCGCTCCGGGACGGCCGCGAAAAGAAAATGGAAATGGCCGGCTTCCTTTCCGTATAAATTTCCACGGAAAATTCGAGCGCACGCGACTGCAAAAACCTTCCGCGGATGGCGTATATACCATCAAATTTCCATCGTCCCAGTTAGCGAAAAACTTTCGTTTGTACTCGTTTTGCCCGGCTTCGAGCTGCATAATTGCGTCGCAGTTTCGAGCCAAAAGCGAGGAAACCTATACCATAACATACAGGGTGTTGATTAAAGTTATACACCACCGAGCTCAGAGTATAACTCTAGATATAAGGCTAGATAACTCGAAGCGGGGTAGGGAATCGGGTATGCTGAAAGCATCCGTCGATGAGGCCCTAATTCAATTTCAGGTAACGCTCCGCCGTCGATGTGGGGGCGGCGGTCGGGAGGCGAAAGTTTCTCTCCGAATTTTCCGATCGAATTAGCGTGTGTCTTTTCTAAGCGCGAATATGCCGACGAATAATCGCGATCGCCGCCGATGACGCGTCCTCCCTCGAGCTTTAAACTCTAACTAGTATAAACTTTCGCGAGCAGGGCATCCTCGAAAGCGTCTACCTTCAATTACCGCCCCGCTCGATGCCGGGGAAGTGCGCTCATTAAAGCCGAACGTTCTCTAACTGCTTCTATATATCTTGCACTTATGTGCCTACCATTCGCCTGATGTGATATCTCTATACGGGCTGTCCCAAGTTCCCGCAAGTTGGAAATCTTCACCGAAGGTCATCAGGAATTTGATAGTGTTTGCTCTTTGTTTCAAATTGTCCAGAAACACTTAGAATAGTTTCAGAGCAAATTGGAACTATTCAAAAGCATTTGGAACCATTTTACAACTAATTAGGTCTATTTGAAACAGTTTTTATTGCTCTTATTACCATATTGTACAGAACTCTTCATTTAGAACTGTTTCATAGCAAATTAGAACAAACCAGAATCATTCCTCACTTTAAAGCTCGATATGACAATCTAAGAACCATTTAAAACTGCCCTAAATCATATTAGAACTAATTCAGTACTATTCCCAAGTCTAAAACTATTTAAAATTTTCATCTTCAATGAGTATTTTTCCCATCAATTAGAATTTTCCATTCAACTCGATGGCCCGTTACAGGGACTTGCGACGGTTCCCTTTTTTTTATATTCTTCCATCCTCATCGTGCTTTCATCGTTAGCCGGCGTATTTTTTTTTATCGGAATTATGTCGAATTCGCTCTTTCGAGAAAAGGGACTTGTTGAGAAATGACACCCTTAATCTTTCGACCCGTATCTCCATCATAAAATCCGGCGGAAAAAAGCGACGCTATCTATCCGTCTATCTGCGGAGAGTCAAAAGGAAAAACGCGAACGGGCCCCTAAATTATGACCGAATCTGGTCGAATGTTTGGAAAGAGGGTCGATTTTTTTTTATTCGCCCCCCGTCGAGAAGCGATCCGATTTTCGATAGGTCGAGGGAGCGGCTTATTAAATCATCGCGTGTCGCGTTTGGAAAAATTAAAATTAATCGCTCGCGCCGCTGAAGCGGAGCCACTCGCGAAACGATTTTACGGTGCAATTTTCGCGTCGGGTTTATGGAGGGCGAAGGCCGTTTGGCAGGCGGTTCGAACGCGCGTTAAACTCCTCGAGTTTGTGTATTTGCACGCGGTTAGATTATCCCGCCGACGGTTGTCGTTATCATTAAAAGATAGAGATTTATTTCTGCGTAAAATAAGTGAATACAGCGAGCAATTACATTCGATTAGTCCAATAAATTGTTTCCTCGAAGAGACCGGGAATTGCGGCCGTCTGGGCGAATCAATAGCGCTCCTCTCTTGGGGGATAAATAGATAGAAAGGGAAAAAGTAAATGAACAGTTCTTTTGTACGTTAAATTACTTCGGCGTTTTCGGGGAGATATTTACTTTTTATTCGACCGGTGAAAAAGCGGATGAAACGTCTCGCTTGAAGAGTCATATTTGCTACTCGTTTTTATTAAATTAATTCGTATAATCTCCTCGCCGGGTGTACTCCTGAAGTACTCGTAATATACACAAATAAGTTAAGTAGAGTCTAATTATGTTTTGAAGCGACTTTGTCTCGACGGACCGTCGGAGACGAGTTGCACTAAACTTGTCATTCATTATACAGAAACTCCACTTCCGAAATACGAAACAACAGAACCCGCTCTCTAACTGAACAAATTAGTTTAGGTTAGTTGCAGGAACATCTTGAGAACTCCCGCTAATGGCCAGCTAGTTAGTAATTTTTTACCACCGTACAGAGCGTCCCGAATTAGCGGGATAAGTGGTTTTATTAATTCGAGTTTCACCCTTTCTCGGGGGATAAAAATAAATAATAGTCAGCTTTTTTTTGTGTGTACGTATCTATATAGGGAAAAATAAT